GATTGGAATACTACTATTTAATTAAAACTGCAGTTTTCGTGAAATCTGAAACACTTGAAGCTGAGATGTCCCTCCTACCATTTCATTCACTCTTCCGACTGTCCATCAACTCCTGGTTGACCAATACATCACAGCCACTAATGCCATTGTAGCGCAGCAGGAGAATAGGTTTCGTAGCTGTATCACATATCTCGCGTCGGCTCCACGGTGTCCTGATCACAGCATTCTGCCGTTAAGACCTTACAGGGAAGATGTAATTACAGCGACCTTAAGGTCTGAATATTTAGCCTAGGGGAAGGATTATCTAAAAAGCTACAGTTGTCCCTGATGCGACTCGTACACGCAACCTTCGGATTGCTAGACGGTCGCGGTATACGCCCACCCATCCTCCCCGACAAACCTTCCTACCTACCTACTGTTGTTCCTGTCTTAAATAGCGTAACCAGCCCAAGCAGGTCATTCGTGTTCAGGTTGATACTAAATAATACTATATCCCAAAAATAAAGAAAAGGGCATGCCATACTAAACATGTATCAAACAAACGTGGGAAGACTGCCCAGTCCGAGATGACACTTCTTACTTTGCAATCAAAGTAAGAAGTGTAACACTTGCTACTTCCATTCAGTGCATTTGTTTAACAAATTGATGTCAAAATAGGAATTGCCATAAATAAATATTCTATAAAGTCGAATCCTGCTATTGGTTGCTGCATCTAATGGGTCATTTTCAGCAGATTGGTGTTATTGGAAACAAATGCTGTTCTGAGGGCATGCATGATTGTGGCTAGATGTTTGAGTCGCGTCTTGGAAAATGTTAGCGTTTTAGCTAACCCTAACCCTTTCTCTAACCTTGACCTAATTCTCATAACCTGCCATGTTAATTATCCTGACCTGCTGTGTAAGTTCTCCTAACCTGCTACGAAAAGTCACTTCTGTGGCACTCCATCTAGTTCAAACTGGTAGGCCTGCCCGCTGAATAGCGGGACTTTCCAATAACGCGATACACCTCATTCTCCCATCATGTTCATCCATGCAGCCAATATTGTCACGCCCTGGGTCTGGGGACTCTAGTATGTTGAGCCAGGGTGTGAGTTTTCATGTGTGTTGGTTCTAGTTGTTGTATTCTATGTTGGCCAGGGTGGCTCCCAATCAGAGACGGCTGTAGCTCGTTGTCTCTGATTGGGAGTCATTCTTAGGTAGCCGTTAGGCATTCATTCATTGTGGTTTCTTGTTCCGTGTTGGTTTGTGTTGTAACCAGGGACGTCACGTTTTCGTTTTGTTGTTTTGTTCGTGTGATCATCAATTAAATAAAATGTTCGCATTCAACGCTGCGCATTGGTCCTCTGTTCCCGACGATCGTGACAGAAGAAACCACCAAAACTGGACCAAGCAGCGTGTCCAGGAGCCATCACCAGGGGAGTCGCTAGCAGATCTCCGTGGCAACCTCGACTGGGTCAAGCCTAATGAGGAGCAGAGAGGGTGGACTTGGGAACAGTGGAGGAAGAGTCTCGACTGGGTCAAGCAAAAGGAGGAGCAGAATAGTTGGAAGCAGGAGAGCGAGAGTTGGGTGAGAACGATAGAGGCCTGGTCCACGGGGAAGAGAGACCCCCAGACATTTTTTAGGGGGGGGGGCTCATGACGTCGGGGCAGCAGGAGGCCGTGATAGAGCGGTCCAGCGGGTTGGCAGAGGAGGCCGCCAGGTTACGGGGGCCACTGGTCGAAGAGGGGATGGAAGGTGTAGAGGCACGGCGAGAGGTACTGGGGTGTGTTACCAGTCCGGTCCGGCCCGTTCCAGATCCCGGTGTAGGGCCAGTGGTGTGTGTCCCCAGTACGGTCCGGTCGGTTCCTGCTCCCCGCACCAAGTCAGTGGTGCGCTTCGTCAGCCCGGCTCGGCCCGTTCCTGCTCCCCGCACCAAGTCAGTGGTGCGCTTCGTCAGCCCGGCTCGGCCCGTTCCTGCTCCCCGCACCAAGTCAGTGGTGCGCTTCGTCAGCCCGGCTCGGCCCGTTCCTGCTCCCCGCACCAAGTCAGTGGTGCGCTTCGTCAGCCCGGTTCGGCCCGTTCCTGCTCCCCGCACCAAGTCAGTGGTGCGCTTCGTCAGCCCGGCTCGGCCCGTTCCTGCTCCCCGCACCAAGTCAGTGGTGCGCTTCGTCAGCCCGGCTCGGCCCGTTCCTGCTCCCCGCACCAAGTCAGTGGTGCGCTTCGTCAGCCCGGCTCGGCCCGTTCCTGCTCCCCGCACCAAGTCAGTGGTGCACTTCGTCAGCCCGGCTCGGCCCGTCCTGCTCCCCGCACCAAGTCAGTGGTGCGCTTCGTCAGCCCGGTTCGGCCCGTCCTGCTCCCCGCACCAAGTCAGTGGTGCGCTTCTTCAGCCCGGCTCGGGCCGTTCCTGCTCCCCACACCAAGCCAGTGGTGTGCGTCGTCAGTCCGGCACAGCCCGTGCCTGTTCCACTGGTGCCTGGTTCAGCACGGGTCAGCTGCTTCACGCCGGAGCTAGAGCAATCCGCTCCACCAGTGTGCAGTCCAGCTCCGGTCAGCAGGGCCAGACCGGACCAGGGGTACTTTGGGGGGTTAGAGAGCGAGTGGGGATCATGCCCGGAGCCGGATCCGCCGCCAAGGCGGAGTGCCCACCCGGTCCCTCCCCTGTGGTATTTGGTTGGCGCGGTCGGAGTCCGCGCCTTTAGGGGGGGGTACTGTCACGCCCTGGCTCTGGGGACTCTAGTATGTTGAGCCAGGGTGTGAGTTTTCATGTGTGTTGGTTCTAGTTGTTGTATTCTATGTTGGCCAGGGTGGCTCCCAATCAGAGACGGCTGTAGCTCGTTGTCTCTGATTGGGAGTCATTCTTAGGTAGCCGTTAGGCATTCATTCATTGTGGTTTCTTGTTCCGTGTTGGTTTGTGTTGTAACCAGGGACGTCACGTTTTCGTTTTGTTGTTTTGTTCGTGTGATCATCAATTAAATAAAATGTTCGCATTCAACGCTGCGCATTGGTCCTCTGTTCCCGACGATCGTGAGAAATATACAATGGGCAATTAAAGAAAGACAGCAATTAATTAAAAGTGAACGTTGGACCTACAGACAGTGAAGCAGTTTGATTACTTTAATACTAAAATATTTCCTCCAAAAAAGACAGCCACACTGACAGCCATGTAGAAAAACATAATACTATTACAATTGAAATCCGTGTTGCTGGTTTATAAATTATATGATTCATGCAGTATGAAGCAATAACTTATTTTGTAAATAATAAATAAATCACCAATCCTTTGAACATTTCTACATATTACAAATACTATTTAAGCAAGGGGAAGAGTGGAGAGACACAGAAAAGTGTTTGTATACTGGAAAGGATAGTCATCTAAAAAGCATTTGTACCTTAGTGCATTGTCTCTCTCCTTCAGTTTTTCTGTGATTGTAAACTCAAAATCCGCTTTCGGTTTGAAATCTTCGGATAATGCTATAGATTCATGACCATCGTACATATCAGTTTACTATATTTGTATTTTACGAATAATAACAGAATAGTGAGAAGGATAACTGCGTTCTCCCTCTCGTCTACGACCTCTCTCTTTCTCATTGTCAGTAATTTCACTTTCTCCCCTCAAGTAAATGAAAAATGTTTTGGTTGTTTGTACTTTTACCCCTTTTTCGTGATATCCAATTGGTAGTTACAGTCTTGTCCCATCGCTGCAACTCCCCTACAGATTCGGGAGAGGCAAAGGTCGAGAGCCATGCGTCCTCCAAAACACGACCCTACCAAGCTGCTTCTTGACACACTGCTCGCTTAACCCGGAAGCCAGCTGCACCAATGTGTCGGAGGAAACCCCTTCCAACTGACGACCGAAGTCAGCTTGCAGGCGCCCGGCCCGCCACAAGGAGTTGCTAGAGCGCGATGGGACAAGGAAATCCCGGCCGGCCAAACCCGGACGACGCTTGGCCAATTGTGCGCCGCCTCATGGGTCTCCCGGTCACGGCCGGCTGTGACAAAGCCTGGGATCGAAGCTGGGGCTGTAGTGACGCCTCAAGCACTGCGATGCAGTGCCTTAGACCTCAGCGCCACTCGGGAGGCCTAGTAAATTACACTTCTGACTTATTCATTAACCAAACACAAACTGCATATCCTTGTTAGTTTGCTTTTACAGTACAGCACGTGATGTGCACATCAACTGGAACTATTCATAGAATGTATGATTATTATCTTGCTATTGAAGTGGCTGGGGGATTCAAGCCATTGGCCCAGGAACATGAGCCAGAAGGGAATGGGGCCACCGACCATCTTCTTTTCATGTAAATGAGTCAGAAGAAGAGTCCATTACACACACACACACACACACGCACACACACACACACACACACACACTGAATTTGTCATGTTTAATTTATAAAGTGAGGACTAGAAGGTGGAGATTTCTTAAACCCTGCATTCCAATAGTGGAAAAATACCAAGAGATGCAGTCTCCTATGGAAGCCTTTTCATATTGTGTGTCATCATGGTCCACACTGTACGGTGCATTAAAAGACCACTGAGTAGAGGTAGTGTACTGGAATACAAAATAGCCTGATATGACAGCTGACCTGTTTGAGTCCATGATGGTCAATATTTTATAGCCTTTTACCCTCAATGTGAATTAAGTTAGTTCTGGTTTCCATAAACTGATTACATTTATTTAATATCAGGATATATTATGTCAACATTGAATACAGAATTCAGAATGTTTTGGATATTTATTACAGAAGATCTCACTACAGGTAGAGAACTATAAATCATTTTCAATTTTTTTTTGCTTCAAATGATTTTTTTTTAAAGAAGGAAAGAAAAACATTCAATATTCATGCCATTTTGAAACTGAATAACATTTCAAGTTCAACCTACATTTCAAGTATAAAATGTATGTCTTTGTATTCTCTGAGAGTGTCTAAGAGTGTTATAATAGGCTTTTATATCAACTCTGTGCGTCTAAAACAAAATCCATTATTGTGGCATGTCTTAACCTTTCTCATCTAGAGTCATTTAATTGTTAAGGGAGAGGTGTCACGTAACCCAGGGCTGAATACAGCGAAGAATCCTTTAGATGACACAACGTTAAAGAAACTGTACAGATGTGCCTTTGATTCAGCATTATAAAAGGAAAGCATCTGTCTGTCACAATCTAAGAACACTCCCAGTGTTGTAAGAATTTTTTCTCCAGATTCTGGTAGGTGAAAAAATATGAAAGGACTTCCATTTCCAGATACTGGCATTTGAGGGTCATCAGGGACATAATAACCTTTTCCTTTTTCATATGTAAAAACCCAGAAACCGTTCTCAGGGGTTAAGGGGACAACAGCCCTTGACTGAGTGGCTTCGTATGTGGCTACACCAACATACCATGACTGTTTCTCTTTCTTCAAAATATTATCATCCCTCACCTTCACTTCCCAGTATATCTGTCCACAGTTGAATTTGTCCTCACTAATGACATAAGGAGCTGTGGACACATCAGCTACTTTTGATTTCTTACAACGGATCTTCTTCCTATCTGGAGACACAACCAGATCCGGGTCAGAAGGTTTTGGCTCCAGAGTGATGTCCACTAAGAGAAAATAAGAGGATTTAATTGTTGTCCTTAAATTCTATGTATTGCTCATGTTATGCTACATTGAGCTTACCAAACATTAGGAACACCTTTCTAATATTGAGTTACACACCCCCAGAAACGTTGCCGTTCTTGACACAAACCGGTGCACCTACTACCATACCCCGTTCAAAGGCACATAAATCTTGTGTCTTGCCCATTCACCCTCTGAATGGCACACATACACAATCCATGTATCAATTGTCTAAAGGCTTAAAAATACTTATTTAACTGTCTCCTCCCTTTCATCCACCCTGATTGAAGTGTATTTAACAAGTGACATCAATAAGGGATCATAGCTTTCACCTGGATTCACCTGGTCAGTCTATGTCATGGAAAGAGCAGGCGTTCTCAATGTTTTGTATACTCAGTGCATATATAACTGTTGTGTAGTGATATTGTGTTTGATACGTGTTTGTGTCCTACCTTTCAATCTTTTCACTTCACCCCATGCTGCAATTGAATGGTTTGAGATTTTATTGACAGATTAAAAAATGAATTGGCATGCACAATCTTGTTTTCCTGCGAGTGTTGTTCAATATACAAATAAGCAATTCTGAATGATTGTGCATATGAGGTGAAAAAGTGCATTTTCTAAAGATAATAATATTAATATATAATATAATAATAGATAGAATCTCATTTTACCTTTTGGGACTGATTCCATATCAGTTTGTGTAGCACTTTCTAGCCAGAGTGAAACATATGATTGATTTTATTGGGATGTACAAAGTTGTTTTTCCTAGGAGTGTTCAGTTAATGCTCATAAACAATTATGAATGATTGTGCATGCATGTTGAATTAGTACATTTTCAAAAGACTAGAGAAATAAAATTGTTTGTAAAAATACATTTACCTTTTAGGACACATTCTGTCTGTGTAGCTTTTTCTGTGTCAGTTTGCATGACACCTTCTGCCAAGAGTGAAACATATTAATTTTTTGTTAGAACTTTTTTATTTTACATTTAAAAAATATATATATTTCCCTTTATTACTTTCCAACCCCAACAACCCTTTCCCTAATTGGAGTAAACTAGTGAACAACAATGCTTAGGCCTCTACTTCCAGCTGATACATACTATATACATTTTATGGACACAGTCAATTTTACAATGATTCTATTTTGTTTGTTTTTACTCCTGAACTTCCTCTACCCTCAACCTCTCCGATCATTTTCATGATGTCCATCCGGTTTGCTTCTATATGCCATATCTTTCTAACTGTGCTCTTTCACAAAAGCTCTCAACCTATGACCTATATACTTATTATGGACACAGTATGCTTTACATTAGTTATCTTGTTGTTATTAGTTGTTATTAGTCCCATCCTTCAGCTCCATTCAACACCTCCCATCTATCTCTTAACTCTTCAATTTGCCATATATTTTTCAACTGTACTGTGATGTTTCACAAAAGTTCAGAACCCTTCTATTCTCATTGTTTCTACAGATTGTAAATTGAAAAAAAAAAAAATTTCTAAAAGTATTATTATATTATTGATCGATTGACTATGACTTTTCAGATCAACCAGTAGTGCTATTGCAGGGTTAGCCCCAGGTAAATATTGCAATCCTTCAGCCATTCCTGGACCTGTGACCAAAAACAAGCTAAAAATGGACAGTACCAAAACAAATGATCTAATGATTCTGTCTCTTCGCAGCAAAATCTGCAGAGCTGGGAAGATTGTATCCCCCATATAAATAACATTCTATTGGTAGCAAGAATTTTGTATAATCATTTAAATTGAAATATTATACGTTTTGAATCCGGCATCGTTTTGCATATCAGTTCATAAACACTATGCCATGGAATCGGTACGTCAAAAATCTCTTCTCAACTATTTTGCTATCTATGTGGGAAGGCTGACAATCCTTTCGTCCTTAAATGAAACTGGTATACTTTTTTATTTATCAAAAATGTATTTAACCAATTATGTTCTTTAATGCAGGGCTGACAGACAAGTTCCTTACTTTTTCCCCCTTCCACTTTCCTCTTCCATTTTTGCGGTAATGCTGCAATTATTTGGTTGTAATTTTGGGTAGAGCAGATATTTCCATATGTTTTTGTTAGCTGCATGTGCGACATAACTCCACCAGTCCTACCTATGATATAATTTACGAAGATTATACCTTTTTTTTTGTATAATAATGTTTTTTTATCAATTAGTATATTTGAGTTTAACCACAATATTTGTTGCATTATTTGTTCTGTCATTTCTGGAGGATTAAATTGAAATTGCAACCAACTTTCTATGGCTTGTTTTAGAAATAGTGATATTTGGGAGATTATTTCCTTTTCAAATAACTTAAAGTGAGAGGTTGTAATCTGAATAAAGGGAAAAGGCCATTCTTGAACATGGGGTGAGACAATGTTACTAATTTGCTAGAGAACCAGTGTGGATTTAAGTGTAACTTTTGTATGACTGAAGCTTTTACTGATAGGTCTAATGCTTTAATATTTAATAATTGATGTCCTCCGAATTCATATTCATTATATAAATAGGGCCGTTTAATTTTGTCTGGCTTGCCGTTCCAAATAAAATGGAATATTATTTTCTCATATAATTAAAAAAAATAACTGTTCTCTAGGCTTAGGCAAGACCATAAGCAAATAGGTCAACTGGGATAATACTAAAGAGTTAATCAGGGTGATTTTTCCACAAATAGACAGATATTTACCTTTCCATGGTAGCAAGATCTTATCTATTTTTGCTCACTTTCTATTAAAATTTATTGGAGTGAGATCATTTATTTAATTTGGGATATGTATTCCGAGTATATCCACATCACCATCAGACCATTTTATTGGTAAACTACATGGTAATGTAAAAAAGAATACCCCCAAGACATGCATTTTATGGGGGTATGATATTTGTGCGTCTGTAACTTTCTCACTCATTATTATTGATGATTAATTCAGGATTATCCGTAATCATGGTATTATCCACATGATTGTAGAAGTGTTTAGAAACATATGATATTCTTATTTACAATAAAAGTGACTCCAAAATGACACAAACATTATTTACCATTTATTTCAATTGTGCACAAAATAATCTGAAACACAACCAAAACAAACAGCAAATGCATCCAGCAAATGTGTAAAGTCACAAGCTTGATGTAGTCATTGTGTGCTATGAATATGGGACCAAATACTTACATTTTTACTACTTTAATACACAGACAGTTTAAGTGAATTTGTCCCAATTCTGTTTGTCCACTAAAAGGGGGGGACTATGTACAAGAAGTGCTGTAACTTCTAAATGGTTTACCCGATGTGGATGAAAATACCCTCAAATCAAAGCTGACAGTCTGCACTTTAATCACATATTAATTGTATAATTTCAAATTCAAAGTACTGGAGTACAGATTTGATTTTAGATTTTAACGACAGATATGTACCATCTTGTTTTCCTGCGAGTGGTGTTCAATATACTAATAAGCAATTCTGAATGATTGTGCATATGAGGTGAAAAAGTGAATTTTCTAAAGATAATAATATTCATATATAATATAATAATAGATAATTGATAGAATTTCATTTTACCTCTTGGGACTGATTCCATATCAGTTTGCATAGCACTTTCTAGGCAGATTAAAGCTGACAGTCTGCACTTTAAACTCATGGTCTTTGTATCATTTCAAATCCAAAGTGCTGGAATACAGAGCCAAAACACACAAATGTATTACTTTACCTGCCAGATTAACTTCTTTTCCAGTGACCATCTGTTCGGTAGGTTTCGGCACTGTGTTTTCTGCCCCTAACGGAGAACATTTAGGTAATATTGAAATTAATCAGGTTACTACATTATCAAAGTTATATTATATCATATACAGTATATCATGAGTGAACATTACCTTCAATTAGGTTTTTTGTCTCTGTTGAATGGAAAAGGTTAAAGTTATTGTAAAAAGGTGAATGTGGAACTGGTACAGTCAAATCCTATTGAGATATGTGCTTGGTGTCAATGGAATGTTTCCTCAAAAATAAGTTAATGTATTAGCATGTATTATCATTTCACCCAGAGATCAGAATGAAACAGTTACCTGCCGGCCCCTGTGCTAGCTCAGTTTGATTCGAAATATAGACACAATCATGTCAACATAAAATCAATCATGGTTTATGTTGTCATAACTCATCTCACACTTAGTTTATTTATCACACAGATCAGATGAGATACTGTTTCTGCACTTTTGGCATGACACATTTTAGAGGGTAAAGAAATGTATTCCCCCTATTACTTAATACCTTCCAGATTAATTTCTATACCAGCTGCTATCTCTTCAGTAGTTGGTATCTGTTCTGTGATTTCTGCCCCTAGCAGAGCACATTTAGGTCATTACCCGCAATTCATTACCTTACATATTTAAATTTATACTAAACTAGATATCTAAATGATGATCAAAGTTATAATATTATTTTATCATGATAGTTAACAACCTTCAATTGTTTTTTGGGCTCTGTTGAACGGAGTAGGTAAAAGTTATTGTAAAAAGTTAAATTGTGGAACAAGGAGAGTCAAATCCTATTGAGATATGTGCATATCATGCTTCGTGTCAATTGAATGTTTTCTAGAAAATAAGTTAGTTGCATGCATCTTATGATAGCCTTTCACTCAGTTTGATCTGAAATATAGAGACACAATTGTCAAAATAAAATCAATCATTGTTTATGTTGTCTTAACTCAAATTTCACTCTTAGTTTATTTATCAGATGAAATACACTACCTGAACTGTTTCTGGACTTTTGGGATGAAGACCACATGGACCCTAAAAGATACAAAAATATTATTGTTTATATATTTTATGGACAAAATATTTTATGACACATTTCTCTATAGGGTCATTATTACTGTTATATCTTGGTCTTATAATTACATCACAAACACTAGTATGACTGAATACCAGATACCTCTTTGTTTGTACAGAATGACAGAGCACAGAGCACCGATGATCAGAAACAGGACCAACAGGACCAGAGTCACAATGAAGGCTTCTTTGAAGACTCCTGCACAGAGACCCAACATTGATAAAATGCCTCTAAAGCTCTCAAGACATGACATCATCAGAACACCATCACAGTGAAATTAATTAGCAAAAGCAATCTGTAGACACCTCTTCAACATGTTCATTCTCCTCCTCTAAAGTAGTGTATGTGTGGGATGGGGAGAGAGGGATCTGATTGTGGGTAGGCTGTTTGTGTAGGAGACTAACTCACCAGGTACAGCTGTAGGAGCTGTGTATATATGTGGCAGAATTCTGCCCTCTCTCTTCGCCTCCTCAGACAAAGAGACTGTACAGGAGAGCCAATTGGAGTATGAGGGAGCATACAGCAGCCAACTACTGACACTCACCAAGCCCTGAGGATCTGATACAGAAAGATGGGGAGGGGAAATCAAAATATTCACATTGACTTACACAAAGTAGTCAACTGAAAGTACACCACAACCCAGGTCACATTTTTTACCCAAAACACAGGTACTAGAACATTTGTGTCAGCAGAACAGAGACAGTGTGAGGAAGTACCAAAATGTAATTACCAGAAGTGTTGAGTACTTCTTGTCCATTTCTGATCTCTGTCCCATCTTTGTTTCTCCAGGTGAGTTTAGGTTGTGGTGACCAGCCCACTGATGAACAGGTAACGTTCACCTGACCTCCTCCTCCTCGTCCTTCAGCTACAGAGAGAACTGGTTCACTACCTGTCACTGATGGATAGATAAGGGGGGACAAGCAACAACTATTAAGACACAGATAGAATGACAGAATAAATTGGAAGAATACAAGATATGTATTTTACAATTTAGTGTTAGATGGTTCCTCACTCTGAAAGTAGTCTATGGGCCAGAAGAAACTATAGTTACCGGAGTTGTAACTCCAGTTCTATGAGTGGAGCGGAGCCCCATAGGGGAGCTCTGCTCCTATTGGTTTACCCTGCTGCCTAGGCAGCTAACAGCCTGAGACAAAATTATGCACACACCTGCAGCCAATAGGAGTACAGGTGTCCCTATAAGAGGGGATGCCTCCCCTCAATAAGCCTCCCAAGAAATTATCTTCAGACTGGAGTGTCGGAAGGGCCTTAAGTCCTATGGGGCTCCGCTCCACTCATAGAACTGGAATTACAACTCCGGTAACTATCGTTCTATATCGTGGAGCTCCGCCCCATAGGGGAGCTCTGCTCCTATTGGTTTAAGGCGGAGCGCAACGCTCCAAAATGTACTCCCTGCCGAGCCCAACACTTCCCACTTGAAAAGGTCGGGCCTAGCAATGGCTGCGACCAAGTGTCACAAAATACTGTGTCCTCTGTACAAATTCACCCCACCTAGTCCAATGGCATTGCCAATGTCTAGTGGGCAGATAACCAGAATATGAGCCATACTAATCTGAACCAGCAGATAGATGGCATCTCAATATCCTGTCAAAACAAAACCGATCACTAATGTAATGACACAAAGTGTCACTCTACACTGTGTATTCGGTAATCCGCCACACTCAATCTATGGAAACCCAAAGATTAGTGGGTAGACTCCAGAACATGAGTCATACTAATCTGAACAAGCAGATAGATGACGTCACAATTCAGTCAATATATATGACCGGTCTAATAGTAATGTAAACAAAGTTACAAACACTATTTCTCTCATCATTCCGCCCCAACCCAGTTATGCACTGGTGAGCAGGTCACAATACATTACCTCTACTGTACTGATAACCTCAGTCAGGAGTCATGGCTCTCTCATAGAAAAAAAGCTGACCTAATGGGAACCCTGCCCCCTGGTCCTGCATCTTTTTTATCTTAGTTCAAGTCCTTCCATCAGCTACACTGAGTACAGACTGAACCAGAGAGTTAGAAGACATATCTAACAGGTAGAAATAGATAAAAGGAGACGGTGACGATCAAGACACCGCTGCGCAATTATCCTCTACACCTGTTCCTCTGAAAAAGGTAATAGAAGCCGCTACTCCACGAGTGGATTGGGCTCTTCTACCCAGAGGCAATGGCCGCCCTGCAGCCTCATAAGCCGTCTCAATGCCTTACAAAGCCAATGAGACAGACGCTGTTTAGAAAGTGGTCTACCGAGTGCAGCCGCACCGTGACACACAAAACAGCTGAGGCGATGACCTAATCGCAGCGTTGCGCTCCACGTAGCGCGCCAAGGCGCGCACTAGGCACAGGCGATGGAGCCGTTCCTCTCTCCTCTCAACATGGTGAAAGGGAGAGAAGGCCCACAGCTCTACGATCTGTAATCTATATGAGCTCTTAATAACCTCTGGCATAAATGCCGGGTTAAGACTTAACACCGTCCTGCTCAATCGTCATAAATGGCAAGGCAGTCGGGTCTCGTCGAAAGAGCGTACAAATCACTGACACGTTAAGCAGTGGTCAAAGCGAGCAACAGTGTCATCTTCAAAGATAACATCTTAAGGGGGATTTGATTCAATGGCTCGAACGGTGGCTCGCAGAGCGCTTCGAGCACCAAAATCAAATCCCACTGAGGAAGCGTGGCTCTAGGCATTGGCCTAAGCCGCCGCGTTCCCAATAGAAAACATTTCACAAGAGGGTGGCTGAAAACAGTGTCTCTGCCAAACCCTCATGACAAGCCTAAATCGGCGCCGCAAGCACCTACATGGTGGCGGGTGAGCGCTGCTTATCACATAGGAACTGTAGGAATGAGCGTATGCTCTCGACCTGACAGCACACGTAGTCCACATTTTCTGTGACACAACACTGTGAAAAAACATTCCATTTACTGGCATAAGTCTCAGCGGAACCACGGAATGGGCCGACGACATGAGACCCAAGAGTGACATGACCGAAAGCGCCTTTACCGTGTGATTCAGATAAAACCTTGGTAGGGCTAGCAACAGGGCAGCCCGTCGAGGATCCGAAATTCGAGCCCTCATCGTTACAGTGTCTAGCTGTATCCCCAGATAGACAATCTGATGACTGGGCCAGGGCGCGCTCTTTTTCCCAATTCACAGCGAACCCCAGACACGTGAGATGAATCACTGTCTGTGTCGTGTGTGTGATCGCCAGCTCTGCTGAAGGGGCGAGAACCAGTAAGTCGTCTAGGTAGGCTAAAACCCTTATCCCCTGACGACGTAACCGTGCTATTGCCGCCTCCACACATTTGGAAAACGTGTGAGGTGCCAGGGCGTACCCGAATGGCATCCTCATGTATTAGTACGCCGCCCCTTGAAAAGCGAAAACGCAGAAACTTCCTGTGACGCGGAGGTACCGGCACATGAAAATATGCGTCCTTCAGGTCTATGCTCGTACAAAAGTCTCTCCTCTGGACACATTCCAGCAGACGTTTTGTCGTCAGCATTCGAAAGGGCCGTTTGGCTACGCTCTCGTTGAGAATTCAGATCCAATATTGGCCTTATTCCCCCCATCTTTTTGGGCACCAGGAAATAGGGCGAATATAACCCCCTGTTCCTTTGCTCCCGAGGAACTACTGTGACTGCCTTCTTCGCCAAAAGTTCTGTAATCTCTGTAATGAGAGCGGCGAACTTTCCCGGCGTTTTCATCACCATCTCCACCACCCCCCTGAATGGGGAGGGATCGGGTGAAATTGGATGGCATAACCCTTCTCCAGCGTCCGGTCTTGCCAGTGGGAGAGGGTACAGCTTCGCTGCCACTCCCAATAATGCTGAGAAAGCGGAAGAGCGCGAAGCTGTGGTGCATTCAGTAGGAAGGACCTGTATTCCTCTACGGCCGTCGCCGCCGCTGTTCCCCGACAGTGAAGTGGTGGAACAGCCCAAGGCGGGCCTCTCATGAAAGGGAGAGGAAACATGAGCGGGTTCTGAGAGAAACGGGGGCGCTGACACGTTGGTTATACTCGTAACCTCGTTGTCCCAGCCCTCCATGAACGCAGCACGGGTCTGAACTGCACTGACTGAGGCGCTCGCCTGAGTCAGAGCGCCGTCTCCCAATAGCGATTGCGTCATCGTTCCAGTAACTGGCTGTGTACGCAGGCTACTATGTGAATCCTGTACCACAACACTCCTAGGAGTCTATGTGTGTAAGGTTTTTATGAGGTATAACAAGGCGGCTCATCAAAGATGTCTGCCTTGTTCCCTTATTCACACGTGCCTCATGTGTATGCTCAACTACGCACCCGTAGTGGGCTGTGCTACACTCAGAGTGGTGAGGAGGAGAGAGAGAGAGAGAGTAAAGGCACCTGAACGGTTTCGGGTGTATCATGGAAAAGGGGCTGTCTTGTGACAAAGTCAATTGGAGCCAACTCTTTATTAGACACACAACACGCAGTTTCCTCCAGTAGGGTGGGGGGGGGGGAACAGTGGACACAGTCACACAAGGCGCTGCGCCGTCTTCCGTTCTCTCCCCCTCGCCATGTCATAAACGGCGTCTCTTCTGGCCGCCCTTCGGGTGATGCCAGGATGACGCTTTAATGACCTCTCTTGCTGGCGGAATGGTCGGCACCTCTTGCGCTGCAGGAGGGGCGGGGCCCGCTCCCTTGCTGCTGGAGGCCGCTGTCTGACGCCGGGTACGACGCGGAGCAGTAGCGAGAGTAAGGGCCGCCCTCCATCATGTCCACTTGCGGGTTGGAGGGAATGGGGGGCAGCTTAATCTCCAGCCGCTTAGCAGCCATCTCAATGAGCCCTGGAAAATCCGAGCGCAGAGAGGCTGTGGCGTAGGACGGGCCTGCTGAAAATTCAGAGCCCGTGTCGTCATCACCCAGGGATGTAAATGACCTCACACTTTCCTGACGGAAAAAGGAGTGTTAAACATCTGGGTCAGAGTAATGGATAGTTCCAATAGAATACCCATTTCCTCCCCAATATTCCTGTCATCTCCTGAGTCAGCGCCCTCAGATGATGCCTCAGAAGCTGAGGCTAGCACCGATAACACGTCCTCTAGAGGGATATCCTCCCGAAAAAATGACCATCGCTGCTTCCTCTCCTTTAAAGAAAGGAGGGCGCAGCTGGCGCATAGTGGGGGATCTATGAGGCCACTCCAAGCATGCTGTGATCCTAAGCACACAAAACATAAGTTGTCATGGAGGAGGAGCGACATTGAGCTCTGAAAAGAGCTTTTGGGCGTGGAAAAACTCCTGGTGTGCTCATTTAGAGGACGACGTCGAGACTTGGAAATCGGCGACGGCTTTCTCGTCCTGAGTCTTGTCTTCTTATCGGCTTCTTCAGTCTAGTCCAGTCGCTGAAGATAAAGGGAGGCTGATTGAGGGGAAGCATCCCCTCTTATAGGGACACCTGTACTCCTATTGGCTGCAGGTGTGTGCATCATTTTGTCTCAGGCTGTTCGTTGCCTAGGCAGCAGGGTAAACCAATAGGAGCAGAGCTCCCCTATGGGGCGGAGCTCCACGATATAGAACTGTATTCCATGGTTTGGTTTTCTTTTAAACGACCACGACAAACTTCAGCTAACTATAGCCACCGCTAGCTAACATTCAATAGGAGTGATAGGGGCATCCATGACATTTTCTAAATGTCATGGCCAAACAACTCAAATCAACTTTCAATTATTTCGTTTGAAGTTACTTAAAGGTGGTTTGCCCATTTTGTTTACATTAAACGGATGCCTCTATCCCTTCCAGAGATGTTTTATTTTTTGGGGGCGGGGCTATATAAGGCTAAATTCAGCTGAAGTTTGTAGTTGGCTGTACCCCTAATGTAAATGTAAACTGAGAGGTGGCAAATGTAACTGCCTTTTTGTTTTTACTCTGTGGTACCAAAGACTCCATAACGTGTCTCAGAGTAGGAGTGCTGATCTAGGATCAGGTGCTTTGGGGGTGACACCACAATACACAGTTTCACCATCAATTTGAGAGATAACCCTTACCATTCACTGTGAGGAAGACACTGGCCTTTTCATACCACTGGTCACTGGTGACTTGGCATATATACTCCCCCCTGTCTTCCAGTGTGACCCTCTCCAGTCTCAGGGACACATTCCCTCTCTCCAGCCCCCCAGTTAGAGACACCCTGCCCCTATACTGGGGGTCCACAGGGGCCTCCTGGATCTTGTGATCTTTGTACAACAAGGCAGGACTGTGGAAGTTACTGGAACGGTACCAGCGCACCTCCAATGGCTCTGCATTGAAGAGAGGTGAGACTTCACAGAGTAGAGAGACCGAGGAGCCAGACAGGGTCGAGGTTGGACCATCAGGGACAGTTAAGGTGAACGTCTCCGGGGCTGGAGAAGGAGAGACAGGGGAGAAAGAGGGCGAGAGAAAGAGAGGGTGACTTATTTGTGCTCGACTCCCAGGGCCAGTTTCCTGGACACAGATTAAATTACTTTTTAATACCGTGTCCAGGGAACCGTTTCCTTTTAGTTACTAATGTAATTAACAGTGTAAACATTCTCACCAGGTTGAGCTGCTCTGATGGGTACTGTGAGAGCAACCAGTATCAGCACCCTCCGACACAACCCTGCATAAAAGATAAAGGACATCACAATGACATTATCACAACTTATTATTCAATGGCGCTGGAGGAGATGGCTGGTGTTTTACTGGCTCCTAACCAACTGTGCTATTGTGTGTAACTTATTTTGTACATAATGTTTCTGCCACCGTCTCTTATGACTGAAAAGAGCGTCTGGATATCAGAACATTGATTACTCACATCGAACTGGACGAAGATGTTTTATTTAACAAGTCGGACGCGAAGGATTTACTGCAGACACCGGACCAGGCCCAAATCCCTGTCATTCGCATGAAGAGAAGACGCCGATACAGGGGACGCAGATCCGGGTGCCTTGTGAGAATTGGTCGGCGAGTGGGTAACCCGCCTCTAACCAGCCGTCCTATTGGCCAACGTGCAATCATTGGAGAATAAACTGGATGAGCTCCGTTCAAGACTATCCTACCAATGGGACATTAAAAACTGTAATATCTTATGTTTCACCGAGTCGTGGCTGAACGATGACATGGATAACATACAGCAGGCTGAGTTTTCCGTACATCGGCAAGACAGAACAGCTGCCTCTGGTAAGACAAGGGTTGGCGGTCTGTGTCTATTTGTCCATAACAGCTGGTGCGCGAAATCTAATATTAAGGGAGTCTCAAGGTTTTGCTCGCCTGAGGTAGAGTATCTCATGATAAGCTGTAGACCACACTATTTACCAAGAGAGTTTATCTATATTTTTCGTAGCCATCTATTTACCACCACAAACCGATGCTGGCACTAAGACCGCACTCAACGAGCTGTATAAGGCCATAAGCAAACAAGAAAATGCTCATTCAGAGGCAGCGCTCCTAGTGGCCGGGGACTTTATTGCAGGGAAATGTCATCACGAGTTTTAATGACTCCAACCTAAGTGTACTAAACGACTTCAACTGTACTTACAGTATCAAAGTATCAAAATATTTTACCAATAAAATTAAAACAATTGTCATAATGATTATGCCCATGTTGACTCCAAAGCTTCCCACAGACTGTATGTCCTTTGGGTGGTGGACCATTCTTGATACACACAGGAAACTTTTGAGCATGAAAAACCCAGAAGCGTTGCAGTTCTTGACACACTCAAACCGGTGCATTTGGCACATACTACCATACCCCGTTCAAAGGCACTTAAATATTTTGTCTTGCCCATTCACCCAATGAATGGCACACATAAACAATCCATGTCTCAATTGTCTCAAGGTGTAAAAATCATTCTTTAACCCATCTCCTCCGCTTCATCTACACTGATTCAAGTGGATTTAACAAGTGCCATCAATAAAGGATCATAGCTTTCACCTGGATTCACCTGGTCAGTCTATTTCAAGGATCATAGCTTTTCACCTGGATTCACCTGGTCAGTCTATGTCATGGAAAGAGCAGGTGTTCCTAATGTTTTGTACACTCAGTGTATATTGCATGGTCAAATCAGATCCCACCTTTTGTCTCATATGTGTAGCTATTGGGTTAATTAGCAACCAGAGGAATATGAATGAACAGACAGAGCCTGTGATTCTGAACTTTGGACTTTCAGACATTGGTTTTATATTTGTACTACTGCTACAGTATATTCATTAACTAGCCACACTAGCAGCCATTTTAGAAAAGTAGAAGGGGGTAGAAGAAGCATAACCTTTTTCAATTACGAGGTAACTGATAACTGAAAACCTTTCATTTCAATTTTAACTTATGTTTCACTGGCATGATGGTAGTCATAAGTCATATCAAATGCATTTGTACCTGAGTTCATGGTGCCTCTCGTTCGATTTCCATAAAATGTATCCTCAATGTAGGGAGCCTCCGATGATCCTTGTCTACTCCCTCCCTTAATATTGAATTGTAGTTTCACTTTCCCTTCTCTTGCAGAGCCTACATTGGTTACTGATTGACAAAAGGTGAAGTTCCAGGACGTCACTACGCATCTCAGAAGACTGCTATATCATATTGATGTGTTTCCAGAGATTTTAAACACTTCTCCAGGCGTTGTGAGATCTGATAATATGTGCAGCGTGACCGTGAAAAAGACGACCTGGAAAGCCATCAAATCTGTAATGTTCCTACCAAAAATACAACTTTGTCACTGTTCTTTGTTCTCTTCTATCTTTTGTCCAATGTTACTGATGCAGCGTGGCCACTTGCAAGTCAACCATGTAGCAAATCAGCTGGTGTGGCCTTGGACAGCGATAGCCTGAAAACTCTATAATTTTTTACAACTAAACTGAGAGACCTAGTATCACTCTCTCACAGATCACTCTCACACGAACGCGAACACACACACACCTTTAAATGTAGTTGGATTACATTTATTTGTTAGGTCATGATGGACAATTTCTGAATTTGTATTTGGCAAACATGTGGAAGAGGGACCTTGATGTGGCATAATAGAACAAACTGTGTTTATTGTGTGATTGACGTTTCGGTTCAGGCAGTAGATGATCTACATGATGATTGACATGTCCACACATGTAACCACAGGGGAAATGAATCAATGGTGTGTGCCCCATCAAATAATCCCTATACCCTGATTTTTTTCCTTACACTCAAACTCTGAATACCAAAGAGATTATGAAAAAAAATACATACCAGTGCAGAACCCTTTAAATAAATCAAAATAAATAGAAGGGAAGGCTCTGATAAATAGACAGTTCTGTGCTCACCTGCTATAGATTTTTTCAGCCTCATTCAGCCAATGACAACGCGCCAACTTCTGAATATTCAGTGCAATCTTTGCATCGACAACCACGCCCCTTTCAGCAGGAGAAAGGAAGCTGCTTTATCGACCTGAAAATCTTCCCCTAGAAAGGTACATTTCGAAAGCATTCCCCTTGATTTTTGTTTTCTATTACATGTTTTTAATGGCCACTAAGATACTAAAACCTATGGAACGCAAATTCATTCTGCAACTACTTGCTGCAATCTAACGTTATAGCTACTATGCACCTTGTTGTTCGCCATCTAGATAACGTTAGCTAGCTAGCAAGCCTGTTTCACACCGAATGCAAACCAGTCAGCAAACGGCTAGCTAATGTAGCTAGCTAGGTCGCTTCCTTGCTAAGAAGAGATTAACTGGCTATGAAATGCGCAGTGATCAACGAATTCGTTGCAATTACAATTTAGGTCACCAGCTAACTAGCTTTGTTTCCATTCATTTTACTTTGTCTGAAGCAAGATGTCATTTCGTCGACCTTTGGTTCGGTAACTAGTTAGCGAGCTACAGTTAACTAACGTTAGCTTAGCTACCTAGCCAACTAGCTAGCTAGTACAGTGTTTTAAAGATAGGTTACGACCAGATGAGGTACTGACTTATTGTGCAAAGCTCCCCGCTAAGCTGATGTAGGTAGAGAAAACAGGCACTGTTGTGACAAATGTTTGAAACCAGCTGGGGTTGTTGGCTTACTAGCTAGCTAGGTAACCTAAGGTCTGGGTCATTAAGTAAGATGTTTACAAACGTCAGTGATCCACTGACAACGTCATGACAGCCTGGTCCAAATCTGTATGAGTTAAACAACATTCCTCTATCATTGTCATGCCAAACCCAATTGGCCATACAGAACATTCAACAAGACTTGCATAGCATGCAGTCTATTCTGGACCAGGCTAGACTGACAGTGTAGTTGAGGAATGTCATACATGATGAACATAAGACCATGACTTTCTCTTCCTAGCTCTCGGGCCCAGCCCACCAGTAAAGCTGTATAAGCACAGGGTCGACGGGACGGACGGAAGCGGCGCATCGTCGTACGGGGAGGTCCGCAGTGACATTACGATGAGCTACAAACCCATTGCCCCTGCCCCTTCCGGCTCCAACCACACCCCGCCAGGTTTCTGCCGAATGTCAATCGGTTATTTTGTGTCCACTATTCTTGCTATCAAGGGTGCACCAATAGAAACATAATTTCTATGGATGCACCCTCTACACTACCCATCTTTGGTTTGGTCTTCACCCATCTTACTGAACTCTCTACCTTACCACAGTGGATTCCATTCAATAGATAAGACTAGCGGTCCTATCCCTGCGACCTGCCCAGAGACTAGCCCAGGGAACACACTACACGTCAACGGCCAACCTGAGTGTCATATACTACCAACCATAATGTAACAATCCCTCTCACCTGAGAATGAATGCGCCACCGATGCCACGCAGCCTTTATGCCCCTGCCTCCCATTTTAAAGATGATGTTAACTAGTCATAGGTGATGTTAACTAGCCATAGGGCGCTTCAGTGCGTCTGAATTTTCTCTTTCCTCTGCCTAGGCTCCAGTGTGCCTTCCCCCTCACTCCCCTCCTCCTCCAACTTCAGACCCGCGTTCAGTGATTTCGGCCCGCCGTCGATGGGCTTCGTTCAGGTAGGACAGAACAGCCTGACTCCTCTCCAACTGCTTTAACTAATGCCTATGATACTTTAGAAAGTCATGTTAAATATGATGTGATGTCATTCAGGGTATTATATCAATAGGGTCCAGGTATCACTACCACATACAAAACAGATTTGATTTGTTGGCGAGTATGTTTATTTGCATAACTCGTCACGGCAATTATCCCTCTGTATCTCTACTCTTCTGTACGATATAAAGGGACTATATCTTGCTCAGGATCAATAGGGAGTTGTAGTTGCTTTTACTCTTTTCCAACACATACCTTTGTCTCTTATCCCCCTCTCTCTCACACACAGCCAGTGAAAGTGTCTCAGGGCTCAACCTACAGCGAGCTGCTGTCAGTCATTGAGGAGATGAGTCGCGAGATCCGCCCCACCTACGCCGGGAGTAAGAGCGCCATGGAGAGGCTAAAGAGAGGTACTGCAGCCTGACCGGCTAAACGCCTAGGCTACAAATATCCTCACAAAGCTTGGAGCAAAGGTTGTGGTTGTATTGACATAGGGTGTTTATCAGTACTCCATAACTTACTTTCCTTTTCCCTAACCACAGTGCACATACCCAGCAAGCAGACAGTAAGCATATTAATATTATATGCGTAAACACAGCAATAATAAATTAACATAAGGCAGTGGGTGAAAGCAATGATCAACAATGCATGGCAGCATCAGAGTAGCAGCAGCAAACATAAATCTTAGAAATAAGCCAAATAGTATGTTACAAGGCTTTCTGCATTCAATAAAACTGTCAACAAGCTCAGTCATCCAGTCAATCAATCATCAAAGTTTAAATCCACCAAATTCAATTAGCAAAATGACAGCCAGTCCAATCCGACATTAATTGTTCTTTAAATTCATAGATGGTAACGGAATTACGCAGAGACTCGGATTTCACTTTAAAATGCATACTAAACAAAAACCATAGTTTTATGGTTTGTTAAACTTTGAAATCAGTGGTTTTTGTTTGGCATACATTTTAAAGTGAACAAATCGGAGTCAATTCGTAATTCCATTATCGTGGAATTGCCCAAATGCAGGACACATCAAAAATAATGAATTAACCAGTACTTGGTGATGAAAGGTTGTCCTAGTTCTTCAGTATGTGAGATGGTCAGTCCAGAAATCCCTATTCCAAGGCTAGTAATCCCAAGGAAAATGTTTCTCTTATGAATAATTACTGATGTAAATACTTTTCAGTGAACCAAACAAACATTTCACCCATGCTTCTCACACCACGGCCATTTTGCTCTTTACTCACATTATCTGGGATCCTTGGGACTACCCTAAACCCTAACCGTAACACATTTGAACTTCAATTGGGTGACATCAGAGTTCGAGTCCCAAGGATCCCATTTAGACTTTTCCCTATTCACATGGCACCAATACTTAGTGACAGGTTTTTACCTATCAACGGAATTCCCCCCCCCCCCCCCAAAAAATGACTAATGCTAAAAGGTCAGAAATTATGACATATCTTACACAGGTAGGCCTACTTATTCCATATGAGTTTACCTGGAAATACATGGATTTCAATTCAAATTAAGGTTCAATGTGGAGACAGTATTATTCTCCACACATGAAGTAAAAGTTATAAATCCCAACTTGTGATGTTTTTCCATCTGTCTTCTAGGTATCATTCACGCGAGGGCACTGGTGAGGGAGTGTCTGGCAGAGACAGAGAGGAGCGCTCGCACATAACCCTTTGCAGAATCCCTCGTCTCTGTATAGGCCTCATCTATGTGTCCCATCTTTGTAATCCTGACCTTTGTCTGTATCGCTCCACTGAACTTGTAACCTTCCCTTGTTCCATATAGTCTCTCACATCGCTATGGGGTGTGTTCAGAATGTATAACACATTTTTGCAGTTGTAGGACAATTCGCTCTCAGAACATTTTGTAACATATTTCAGTTTCAGAGGCACCACGAGGGGCTGGTAAATATAGTCTCATCCTGGTAGTCCAGTTCAGTGGGGGCGAAGTGATAGTGTTGTAAAATATTTCTGATAGATGATTGAAAACTATGCCCTAATGAAATGTCTATGTAATGAGGTTGATACTATGAATCTTTCACTTAGCTGCTATACTGACACCACTCTACAACCAAAGGTTCAATTCAACATTGTTTTACAGTAAGCTGCAAGCAACACTTAAGCCTTGTTCACACTGCAGGCCTTAATGCTCAAATCAGTTTTGTTTTTCAAATCCGTTTTGGAATACTGAGTGTCCAAACAGCAAGTTAAAAGTGACAATCGGATGTGTGTGTGTTCAGACAGCAGTCATTATTCTGACATGACTATGCTAGTTGTCATGGTATTGACGGGTGTGTGCACGGTGGTGTAGGCTGATTGGTGGTGGTGCTTCCTATCACTCAGAGGTTATGTAGCAAGCTAAGGTGACAATGCCTGCAATGGACATTTCCCAGTTGCTTTGAATGTTCAAAATCATAGTGTAAGAACACTTTTAAAGCCTAAAAGGATAAGATAATCCAACTTTCAAAACAAGTATTGTTTGGCTAGCCACAGCAGTCAACTAACTAGGTAGCTGTTTATCTTTCTAGCACATTCACTAATTTGTTTGTAAACAATTAACAAGCTAGTTAGTTACCACATTCTTGTCGAACTGTCAACAGAGTAGCTAGCAAGCAACAAGATATGCCAAATAAGTCAAAACACTTCGGGGCAAATAAATCAGATTTGACCATTCAGACAAGTCGCATGGCCAGGAATCAGAATTGTATCTGACTTCAAACCACCTACAGGAAAAATAACAGATTCGAATCGGATATGCAAAAAAAAAATGGATTTGATGTGAACAAGGCTTTACAGCATCTTGAATATACCCCGTTCTCTGTTCCACATGGTACCACCCTACACACATTTTCTGCTGTCATAGCACACTATTTGCCACATACAGTCAAGCTTTCCTTGCCCTTCATCTACCACCAATTAACTATTACCTACTTCCCTACACACCTGAAATCAGTTTTGTTAGTATGGCAATTTTATAAACCCAATTTTTGCAGTTCTGTACTTAAAAATGGAATAAAATGGTGATAGAAAAGTTTTCCAATTAAAAAAAGTGAGTGTTTGTTTCATTTCTATGTAGTGCACAGGAGGTTGGTGGCACCTTAACTGGGGAGGTCATGTCTGGAGCACAAAGAGTGGAATGGTATCTTTCCATGTGTTCAATGCCATTTCGTTTGCTCTGTTCCAGCCATTATTATGAGCCGTCCTCCCCTCAGCAGCCTCCTGTGATGTAGTGCATATAGAAAGTCTACACGTCCTTGAATTTTTCACATTTTGTTGTTAGTTTCTCAGTTTCATGCATTTAAATAAGAATTTTCTTCCACACACCTTACTCCACACTTTAGGAGAATTTTTGTGTGAAGAAAAATATAAATACCATAATTGGATAAGTCTCCACCCGAGTTAATACTTGGTGGAAGCAACTTTGGCAGCAATTACAGCTGTGAGTAGATCTCTCCCAACTTTGCACACCTACATTTGGCAATATCTGACCATTCTTTACAAAACTGTTCAAGTTCCTCGGGGAGCGTTGGACAGAAATCTTGCCACAAATTTTCGATTGGATTTAGGTCGGGGCTCTGACTGGGCCACTCAAGGACTTAACCTTTTTATTCCTTAGCCACTTCACTAGCTTTGGCTGTGGGCTTCTGCCCCAGTTTCAGCTTTTTTGCAGAGGGCAGCAGGTTTTCCTCAAGGACTTACTGTACATTGCTCCATTCATTTTCTGTTCTATCGTGATAAGTCCTTGACGATGAGAAACATCCCCATAACATGATACTGCCACCACCATGTATGTGCCTTCCGGAGACACTTGAAACCCCACCTCTTTAAGGAATACCTGGGATAGGATAAAGTAATCCTTACACCCCCCCCCCCCCCCCACAAAAAAATAAATAAACATATTGTAAAGTGGTTATCCCACTGGCTATAAGGTGAATGCACCAATTTGTAAGTCGCTCTGGATAAGAGCGTCTGCTAAATGATGTAAATGTAAATGTGTTGGGTTTGCGCCAAATGTAACGCTTTGCATTTAGGCCAAAAAGAACAATTTTAGTTTAGTCAGACCACAAAACCTTTTGCCACATAGCCACAGAATCTCCAGTGTTTTTTGCATACTTCAAAACTGATTTGAGGTGGGCTTCCTTGAGTAATGGCTTCCCTCTTGCCACCATACCATACATTACATATTTGTGGAGTGCTTGGGATATTGTCTCATGCACACTGACCAGTCTTGGCCATAAAAGCCTGTTGCTCTTTCAAAGTTGCCATCGGACTCTTGGTATTCTCTCGGATCAGTCTCCTACTTGCTCAGTCATCCAGATTGGAGGGCAGCCTGATCTAGGCAGGGTCTTGGTGGTGCTATACACCTTTCACTTATTAATAATCGTCTTGACCGTGCTCCAAGGGATATTCAAGGCCGGTTTTACACCCATCCCCTGATCTGTCCCAGAGTTCTTTTGAAAGCTCATGGTTGAGTGTTTGCTTTGCAATTCACTACCCACCAGAGGGAGCCTACAGGAACTGCTAAATGTATCCTGAAATCATGTGAATCACTAGAATTTAACACAGGTCGAGGCCAATTAACTTGGTGTATGATTTTGAAGGTGATTGGTTACACCGGAGGTAATTTAGGATTGCTATTACAAGTGAGGTGGACACTTATCCAATCAAGCTATTTTAGTTCACAATTTATTTATTTTCACATGTAAATTGTGGGGTAGGATGCAAAGATCAATGGATTTTTTTTAATGCATTTTAATTCCAGGCTATAAGGCAGCAAAAGGTGAAGGTGGTATAGACCTTCTATAGGCACTATGTGAGTGTGTGGAGATCTTGGTGAAGGCCTTACACACCACTTTGCACAATGAGGCCTAAGTAAGTGTGGGTGAGTACCACTACGAACACACGAGTAAGAGCTGCACCTCTTTATTTGGCTTCTCAGTCACAACATAACAGCAAAAGATGGCTGCAAAAAGCGTTCCTCGCTGTCCCGCCGTAGACATTTTATAGAAAGCATGATAAGTAGCCTGGTTGAACACTGCTCACCAAGGAAACAATGTTGAGTGTAGCGTTTACTCTGCTTTAACCAGGCTAGATAAGAACACCCATTTCATTCAACTGACACACGAGTCAAGTCATGGTGACCCTTAGATACAATTTTCAGGGACAAATTAGTTAAATGCTGGTATGACGAGCTGTGTCAGCCGTTTGATGTGCAAATCTATGAAAATGGGCCCTACAGAAGAGGCTCTCTTGACCTTTTTACTTGATGCTTGCCAGTCAGTCAACGCCCCGGTTCCATTACCATCTCTAGCCCTTCGGTGACTAGGCCTCCAATAGAATAAGTGGAGCCTCCGCCATATTGCCTTCCCCTATCCAGTCCTTTCAGTTCATTGAACACAGACCGGGAAGGAGCTAGGGGCCAAAATGATGGCCACTATCCCAACTACACTCACTGATGCCAATGACTTGGCAAATCATTAGCTCGGTTCGACTGACCAAAAGGCAAGTGGGGTTGGGATGGTGGTTGAGTTGAGGGCAAAACAGTCCATTACAAAATGTCCTAGCTAAAAATATACAGGATTACAAAGACACAGATTAGCAAATGAAATGTAATATAGTAATAATAACATAGCAATAATAGATACAAGTGAAGATGAGAGTAAATAACTTGGATAGAGTCATATGTAGAACATTAATAGGGGTAAATAAGAAAGGGGTGAACAAGAGGGAAATGGTGGGGACTGCTCTAGTGTCCCATACATATCATCATCCATCTTATGATTGTCTCCGAGTTGATGTCCCAGTCATACTGCCAGAAGTGGAGGATCTCCTGCGTATTCCTGTGCTTTTGCAGCGTGTGTGTGATGTAACTGGCTGTTTGCGGTAGGGGAAAGCTGAACTTTGAAAGTCTGTTGGTGTTGAGGGTACATTTGTGTGGGTGTGTAATGTCGTTTCTATAAAAGATCAAGGTGAATCTAGAAAGAGAATGTGTGTCATGCAAGTGGCGTGTGGGTTTTGTGAGGGAAAAGTGTGTGCACTGCGAAAGTGATGTTTCATGGGGACACTGAATATGGCTTTGGTGTGTGGATAAAACTAAACGTGTCAGCAATGTGTCCACAACTGCTCCTCCTCTCTTCTTTTTAACAAAAATAAACCTCTTCTTAATTCAACCCTAAAAGAGTGCATAACACAGTTTTAGACATTCAAAGTACAACAACATTACCTAATTAGTAATTAAACACTAATAAGGGATGAAATAGTGCCAATTAAAAAATACATAAATTAGTGTAAAGACAGATGGATCATTAATTTCACTAGTATAAAAAAAAAAAAAGGGTAGACATTTTCTTCACACCGGGTAATATGATCCTAGATCTGGGAAAAGCACTCAAATAGCATTAGAGTATGAGTGCTGGTATAGATTAGTTTGGCCTAGATTATAATGAATTAGATTATAGGGAAGGGGGGGGGGGGGGGACCTGATCCTAGATAAGCACTCCTACTCTGAGATTCTGTTTTAATATGGGCCCAGATCCTAACATCTACTTCTAGAGGTACTCGGCTACTCACCGTGGAAGCGGTGGCCGGGGCGTTGCTGTCGTAGCTGAACAGGCTCTTATAGCGGCCCTTCTCCTCCTTCTCCTTGGAGCGGATCCTCTCCTCCATGGCCCTCAGCTCCTTGGCCACCGAGGGCCCCAGCGACGGGTCCAGCTCCACAACCTTGGCAAAGTCGGCCCGCGCCTCCGCCTCGTTCCACACCGCCGCGTGGGCCTTGGCCCGCTTGAAGTAGGCCTTCACGTTGTCTGTGGGGGTGGGAGGTAAGAGTGTGTCAATGGGAAAGAGGCCGGTGTGTTCAAATGGTGTTAAGTTTACACACATTTAAGTTGAGCAGCTGGTAGTAAGCAATAAAAGCTCAAGATAACCTGTCATTCGCTAGCAACAGGCCTGCTGTAGACAGACAAAACAGAACAGCAAAAGTAACAAATGTTTATTTTTAAAGGGATTGTCTTAAGTAATGATGGTGCGGCAACAAATTACACATTCGCTTTCAGAGCATAGCCTATTGTTATGTGAATTCAGCATATTCACTTGATCCTAGGGCAGGGCTACACCTGAATGTATTCAGAAGTTTGTGACTCACCCTCATATTTGGAGATGATGGAGGAGCAGTGGTCCAGCACCTCGTAGTACTGACCCTGGATCAGCTGACACTGGCAGTAGTTCAGCATCAGGGGTGAGATCATGAGGTCCAGCTTGATCCAGCCCTCGTCGCCCGGACGCTCCTGATTGGAGGAGGGGCCAAGGATGGGGAGGAGTTAGAAGACTAGCCACTTATTTAGTGGGGTCAAGACGTTCTATAGACAGGGAATGCATAGATCTCATTTGACATGACATGCAGAATGGCTAGTTATCTCAACTAAATGAAAAGCACATGTCTGCAGTGCTCTAAATGTTACCCTATTAAATAAAAATGCCAAAAAAAGCAAGTCCCCAGGTTTGAAGTCATAAATGTTTACCTTCATCTGCAGGTTCTTTAGACAGGCGATGGCATTGTAGTACTTCTCGGCAGCCTCCTTCACGTCGCCCCTCTTGTACAGGGCGTTACCCTCCACGTGGATCTGAGGCACCGCCTCCAGCTTCTCCTCGTCCGTCATCGCCCAGATGTCCAGTCTGAACGAGCCGGGCGTCAAAACCTGGGAGAGAGGCGTCAATCATATTATTCAATCAAAATGTATTTATGCAGTGAAATGACAGAGGCATGAGTGCTGCTTTGGTGATAAAATGGTTAGAAAACATTTTGATGTAGTGCTTTTAACAAACACAGTTTTACAGTAACCAGGCCTAAAGCCCCAAATAGCAAACAGGAGCACAGTGGCAAAGGAAAAACTATGTTGAGGACATAAACTTTGAAAGGAAGGGTGCCATCCTCCTCTTGATGTCCTGGTAGAACTTCAGAGTTCATATAACCATCTAGGCGAGACAGATGTCCATTTACTTAGAGCAAAGCACCTTCAGTGCATGGGACGCTAAGAAATAAGCAGTAGCACAGTGGCAAGGAAAATTCCCTGGATGGAAGAAACCTTGAGAGGAGCCAGACTCAGCACAGGGTGCTTGGACCCCTAATGGAGAAGAGATAAGCCCCCCCTCACCGCCATGAGCTCCAGGGTGAAGACTAGGGGCTGAGGGTTGGCCTGGAGCTGGTCCAAGTCACAGTGGCCCAGGGAGTGGTGTGAGTGGATCTGAGCGATGCCACAGCAGTGTCTCTGGCCCTCCAGGGGGTCCTTCCCTGCACTGATGTTCCTCAGGGACTGGGACACCAGCGGGTACAGGGCTGTGTGCTGTGGGGAGAGAGGGAGAAGGAAAGAGGATGGTTACATTACATTCACTGGGACAAATTGAGGGACTGGTGGGTTTGAAAGTATAATTAAGGCAGTTCTCTGAAGGGAAACAATTAACAAAACGCATTGACAAACCCTGTCAAATTCCATAACGATCAATGTTTTTGCCACCAATTGTACGCGTGTGTGTGTACAGATGTAACGGTCTCTAATCCATCCAAGTCAACCTTGTTAAGTTGGGCGACCCACCTTGACGTCACATGTGAAATCTGCCACCTCTCCCTCCCTCATGGTGGTGATGACTCGCTCCCACACGGCCAGCTTGAACTTCTTCCCCAGGATGAGTTCCATGGGCTTGCTCCGGCCCCCCATGGTCCTGGAGTCATCCAGCACTGTGCCATCACACAGGCTGGAGCGGTAGTGGAATATTACCTGTTGGAAAATTGGGGGGATAGAATGGAGAACTGGTATTACACAAGTGGATAAATCATGTAATACAGTGAACAAAAATATAAAACGCAACATGTAAAGTGTTGGTCCCATGTTTCATGAGCTGATATAAAAGATCCCAGAAATTGTCCATACGCACAAAAAACGTATTTCTCTAAAATGTTTATCACAAATTTGTTTACATCCCTGTTAGTGAGCATTTCTCCTTTGCCAAGATAATCCATCCAGTTGACAGGTGTGGCATAACAATACGTTGATTAAACAGCATGATCATTACACAGGTGCACCTTGTGCTGGGTTCAATGGTACAGATGTTTCCAGTTTTGAGTGAGCATGAAATTGGCATGCTGACTGCAGGAATGTCCACCGGAGCTGTTGCCAGAGAATTTAATGTTAATTTCTCTACCATAAGCCGCCTCCAACGTCGTTTTAGAGAATTTGGCAGTACGGCCAACCGACCTCAACCGCAGACCACGTGTAACCACGCCAGCCATGGACCTCCACATCTGGGTTCTTCACCTGCGGGATCGTCTGAGACCAGCCACCCGGACAGCTGATGAAACTGTGGGTTTGCACAACCAAATAATTTCTGCACAAATGTCAGAAACTGTCTCAGGGAAGCTGATCTGTGTGCTCGTAGTCCTCACCAAGGTCTTGACCGGACTGCAGTTCGGCTTCGTAACCGACTTTAGTGGGCAAATGCTCAACTTCGATGCCCACTGGCACGCTGGAGAAGTGTGCTCTTCACGGATGAATACCAGTTTCAACTGTACTGGGCAGATGGTAGACAGCGTGTATGCCGTCGTGTGGGCGGTTTGCTGATGTCAACGTTATGAACAGAGTGGCCCATGATGGCGGTGGGGTTATGGTATGGGGCAGGCATAAGCTACGGACATCGAACACAATTGCATTTTATCGATGGCAATTTGAATACACAGAGATACCGTGACGAGATCCTGAGGCCCATTGTCGTGCCATTCATCCACCGCCATCACTTCATGTTTCAGCATGATAATGCACAGCCCCATGTAGCAAGGATCTGTACAAAATTCCTGGAAGCTGAAAATGTCCCAGTTCTTCCATGACCTGCATACTCATCAGACATGTCACTCGTTGAGCAAGTTTGGGATGCTCTGGATCGACGTGTATGACAGCGGGTTCCAGTTTCCGCCAATATCCAGCAACTTCACACAGCCATTGAAGAGGAGTGGGGCAACATTCCACAGGCCACAATCAACAGCCAGATCAACTATTTGCAAAGGAGATGTGTCGCGCTGCATGAGGCAAATGGTGGTTACACCAGATATTGAATGGTTTTCTGATCCACCACCCTACCTAATTTTTTAAAAGATATCTGTGACCAACATATGCATTTCTGTATTCCCAGTCGTGAAATCCATAGATTAGGGCCAAATTAATAAATTTCAATTGACTGGATTTCCTTATATGAACTGTAACTCAGTAAAATCTTTTTAAATTGTTGAATGTTGTGTTTATATTTGTGTTCAGTGAAATGCATTGTATTAATGAAACTGTGTTTTATCTGTTTTGTAACAGTACATTACATTTACGTCATTTAGCAGACGCTCTTATCCAGAGCGACTTACAAATTGGTGCGTTCACCTTAAGTAAACGGTGTAGTGTCTACATTATCACTTCTCAGCAGGCTGAACATTATTATATACAAAAGTTGGACAATAAATGCTGATAGCGTGAGCTGGTAAAAGGTTTATTATGCATGTCTTTCACAGAAACGAAATTCGAGATTTTTATCAACAGGAAAAGAGGTACAAATTCACACTGATTATCCAACAATACAGTTAGTCATGCCGACTATCCAATTAAAACCTAGTACTAATGTTTACAAGCTGACGGACATCCGCACCGGCCAATAAGAGACGAAAATCAATGAAAACATGTCTATCCGGTAAAAGCCCCGCCCTCTTACAGTCTCACCAAGAAAATTATCGTTTTTGCTTCAACAATTACTTGATGGCTGATAATTTCTGTCAATAACAATTCTGGTAGACAGAGTTATAGTTTAACTAAAATAAGGTAATGTATGCGTCACCTTTGAACATGTCAAACCTCGATAATTACGCTCCATGCTAACGTTAGCTAATAATGCTAACCACTTTAGCCAGAAATATGCATACAAAACTACTCTTTGACCGTGGATTAAATTCAGTATTTTATAACTCACCTTGGTTCCATCAGGAAACGTTGACAGGTCTCCTTTGCCAGGACTGACCACTTTCTTCTGAATGCCTTCTGCGAGTAGGTTGGTAGCCAGTTCCTCCATCCTTGTTTCCCCGAGTGTCAAAAAGGAGCCGATTGCCTATCTTCGGGAGAGCTCGAGAGAATTCGACACTTCAATTGACGTCACTGCTGACGCCTAGGGACTTCAAGCAAAGTCTTGTGATTAGATTACATTTACATTACACGTCATTTAGCAGATGCTCTTATCCAGAGCGACTTACAGTTAGTGAGTGCATACATTCTTTTTTTATTTTTCATACTGGCCCCCACAACCCTGGCGTTCCAAACGCCATGCTCTACCAACTGAGCTACATCCCTGCCGGCCATTCCCTCCCCTACCCTGGACAACGCTGGGCCAATTGTGCGCCACCCCATGGGTCTCCCGGTCGCGGCCGGCTACGACAGAGCCTCTACCAGTTGAATGTGATTGTACATTGATTATTTTTCACCACTCTTCTCTAACATTGATGTGGTTAAGTTTTCCCTACATACTAACATAATGCTTTTCAAAGCTTATTGTAGCCAAAACATTGCATATAGGCTACTCTTGCACTCAGATTTGATGATCTATACACAAGCGCAAATACTCATCATCCCATTAATTAAAATCTTGGATATGTGGCCCCACCAAACACATCTGAGAGATATACCTAATACTTGATCGATAAGTTTGGCACCGACAGCAGTCCTAAAATTCCCATATTGTTTGCATTGCATTACTGCAACACCAGCGCTACTAACAAACACTGACTCATTGAGACCTTTTAAAAGTAATATACAACAAAAAAAAACAGGTTTATTTTAGTTTCACAGTCATTATTTACTCATGAGACATGACAAACACAGGCAGGGCAAATCAGACTCCTTCTCCTCCATACAGGATGTGCAGGAAGCTTATCGAGGCACAAAGTGGTTGAGTTCGTAGTAGTGGTCAGTATAAAGACAGGGTAAAAATGGTTTTACAAAATAAGAAAAAACGTCCATGGGACAATATCTTTCTGTTACATAATTGAAAAAAAGTATTATTCTGGAAATTGGACCAAAAAAAAGGAGGTGTAGTGCAATGGGTCATTTTTCAAAATAGGGCAAGTAGAAGAACTTGAAGCCTCTTCTTCCCCGAACCGCACAGCTGATGTAAATCACATGGTAAACTGAGGGAAATGGAGAGAAAACAATTACCACACTGTTTTAATAATTTCTATAGTAAACCTCTATGAAGCCATAGTAATGCAAATGTTGTAAACCGTGACGCTTTTGTAATGCCTGTGTGTCATTTCATCTGCAGATTACTTGTATCAACATCCACAGTGATAAGTCTGTGACAGTGGGGACTTCTACAGACCATTACAGGACTGTTTAAGTTTACATTCCAGACGTTATGATTAAAAAGACAGGAGAAAAGGGTGAAAGACGTGTGAAACATGAAATACATTGACAATACAACCAAGTCAAGGTAAAGAGCACTATATACCCCCAGGAATGAAGAGAAGAAATCCAGGGATGAAGAAAATGGCACTTGAGACACCTGTGGAAAAGGTCAAAGATCACCTTGTCAAAGCCCATAGTAAAAGACTACCAACAACCAAGAAATGTGACAACACACCCCACGTTCACCGAATCGCTTACCTGCTTCCGGATTCAATTGTATTACGACACCAGTGAAAATGAGAGCTGAGAGAAAGAAAAAATGGAAATTTAAAAAACATGGCAATATCTCAAGATAACTAACAAGAGATATGAGAACACAGAGGAAAAGTCCAGTGCCATGAATATATTACAATGGCTGACAATGGGTGGTAAAAAACAAGACATATCTATAAAATATAAAGCGCCGTACACAAACTAAAATGTTAGACTGCAGTGCAGTGACAGCAGTGTTCCCCAGCCCATCCCTGGGCTGTGCACATTCTTTTTCTAGCCTAGTAATAACACACACGATTCAATGTATCAGCAAGCCTTTGGATAGTTGAATCAAGTGTGTTAGTGCTGGGCTGGTACAAAATGTGCACACCTTGCGCGTTCCCCTAGGAATGTATTGGTGAAAAACACTGTTGGACGAGAATCATGGGAGATGTCTTTTCTTTCAGCAGAGATGGTGTGACTTACCGACTCCAGTGACGAGGAGAAGGAATGAAGCGAGGACCACTCTTCTGTTCTTCTTCACCAGAGGGTGAGACGTCCACCTGAGGAAAACATCAGGGTTTTCGTCAATTGTTGTGGGTGATTGAGAGTGTGTCAGTACATCCTTGATCTTTTGCAATATTGTGGGCATGGTTCAGTGTAAATGCATTCTTATGACTGTTTGTACAGTGGGGAGAACAATAATTTGATAACCTGCAAAATCGGCAGTGTTTCCTACTTACATAGCATGTAGCACCTCATAAAGCAGGTCTTGTCTGCTACGTGAGCTAAAGGACTGGAGACTCATTAACACTGCACATGAATCAGAGCAAATAACTACTCTGTCTGGCTTAACTTCCTCCACCCACTGCAAGGCCAACAGTATGGCCATCAGCTCCGCCATATACAGTGGGGAGAACAAGTATTTGATACACTGCCGATTTTGCAGGTTTTCCTACTTACAAAGCATGTAGAGGTCTGTAATTTTTATCATAGGTACACTTCAACTGTGAGAGACGGAATATAAAACAAAACCCCAGAAAATCACATTGTATGATTTTTAAGTAATTAATTTGCATTTTATTGCATGACATAAGTATTTGATCACCTACCAACCAGTAAGAATTCCGGCTCTCACAGACCTGTTAATTTTTCTTTAAGAAGCCCTCCTGTTCTCCAATCATTACCTATATTAACTGCACCTGTTTGAACTCGTTACCTGTATAAAAGACACCTGTCCACACACTCAATCAAACAGACTCCAACCTCTCCACAATGGCCAAGACCAGAGAGCTGTGTAAGGACATCAGGGATAAAATTGTAGACCTGCACAAGGCTGGGATGGGCTACAGGACAATAGGCAAGCAGCTTGGTGAGAAGGCAACAATTGTTGGCACAATTATTAGAAAATGGAAGAAGTTCAAGATGACGGTCAATCACCCTCGGTCTGGGGCTCCATGCAAGATCTCACCTCGTGGGGCATCAATGATCATGAGGAAGGTGAGGGATCAGCCCAGAACTACACGGCAGGACCTGGTCAATGACCTGAAGAGAGCTGGGACCACAGTCTCAAAGAAAACTATTAGTAACACACTACGCCGTCATGGATTAAAATCCAGCGCACGCAATGTCCCCCTGCTCAAGCCAGCGCATGTCCAGGCCCGTCTGAAGTTTGCCAATGACCATCTGGATGATCCAGAGGAGGAATGGGAGAAGGTCATGTGGTCTGATGAGACAAAAATAGAGCATTTTGGTCTAAACTCCACTCGCCGTGTTTGGAGGAAGAAGAAGGATGAGTACAACCCCAAGAACACCATCCCAACCGTGAAGCATGGAGGTGGAAACATCATTCTTTGGGGATGCTTTTCTGCAAAGGGGACAGGACGACTGCACCTTATTGAGGGGAGGATGGATGGATGGGGCCATGTATCGCGAGATCTTGGCCAACAACTTCCTTCCCTCAGTAAGAGCATTGAAGATGGGTCGTGGCTGGGTCTTCCAGCATGACAACGACCCGAAACACACAGCCAGGGCAACTAAGGAGTGGCTCCGTAAGAGGCATCTCAAGTTCCTGGAGTGGCCTAGCCAGTCTCCAGACCTGAACCCAATAGAAAATCTTTGGAGGGAGCTGAATGTCCGTATTGCCCAGCGACAGCCCCGAAACCTGAAGGATCTGGAGAAGGTCTGTATGGAGGAGTGGGCCAAAATCCCTGCTGCAGTGTGTGCAAACCTGGTCAAGACCTACAGGAAACGTATGATCTCTGTAATTGCAAACAAAGGTTTCTGTACCAAATATTAAGTTCTGCTTTTCTGATGTATCAAATACTTATGTCATGCAATAAAATGCAAATTAATTACTTAAAAATCATACAATGTGATTTTATGGATTTTTGTTTTAGATTCCGTCTCTCACAGTTGAAGTGTACCTATGATAAAAAATTACAGACCTCTACATGCTTTGTAAGTAGGAAAACCTGCAAAATCGGCAGTGTATCAAATACTTATTCTCCCCACTGTATGTGTGTGTGGTTAATTACCCGCAGCAGTGTGCAGAGAGCTGGGTGACAGAACTCAAGGTGCTGAAAGACCACTGGGAGCTGCAGTAAGACAGAGTCGCAGGATCACTGAAAAAATAAAATTGAAAGTTATACATCTTTATTGATATCATAAATTAGAAAACAAGAAACACACATTTACATTTGAGGGTGCCATTCTCATCTAGGTAATACCAGATGCAATCACAACACGCCAATGAAGACAAACCTGATTTTGAAAAAGTTATTGAAAGAGGAATTGCCACTGCTGCCTAAGACGTCTTCATTTTCCAGATTCTGTGCGAGCAGAGAGAAAGAGGAAAAATGTTAGGTCATCACCACACAACATTACACCCTGATATCGCTTTTGTGTGTGTTACGTCTATACGTGTGTGTGTGTGTGTGTATGATGGGGCATCAACCTGGTACTTCAGACTGCTGCTGTGGTCGGGGGAGCCAGCCACAGTGGAGGACGGGTGAGTCTGGGGTTTGGCAAAGGACAGGGTACCGAACATCATCTCTCCCCCCTCTCTGTCTTTCTCTCTGCCCTTCCATCCTTCCTTCTCTCCATCGGACACCCCTTCCTCCTCTCCCTCCAGCACAAATGCGTCATCGATGCTGAACTGCGTTGCCATAGCTGGCGGTTGCCAGTACTTTCACACCTTGCCACTGTTTTGGTTGATATACACTGTGGGTTGAGGGGGAAATTCAGCAAACAATGGAAATCAAATCAAATGTACAAAAGCAGATTTTCTACCAAAGGGCCATATGTGGATGTCAACATAGGGTTCTGATCTACACTAAACTACTAGCTATGGGTTAAGAGGCGTCGTCTTGTGTTAGCAGTTCGAAATCGACATACAGACTTTGGATTAATGATTAACCACATTGACGCTTAGGCTGCATGTCGTTTTCAACAAAGAAAATTCTGCGATATTTATTAGATTTTTTACTTTCGTATTTGTAACAGTCATCTGAATTAAACAGATCTTGCGTAAATATTTGATAAACCAAATTGTACAACTCCATCTCCAGTATACACTCTAACCCGGCGATTTGCAAACACGTATTTCGTAGATAAGGACACATTAAGCGGCATACTAGTATCCGGTTGAAAAACGTTAGCTAACTGGTAGAAATAACATAACCTAAAGAAAGAACGTTGCTAACTAATAAACACAAATGCGTTTACGTCTTTAACGTACATTATAATCTGAAGCTCTTCATGAGATAATTATTGGAAACATTTAAAAGCAACTTTTAATAGCTACTTTGGCACTTGTTATGTCGGCATTGTTTGGTTGCACTGCTCCGCTAACGGCTAGAAAATTAGGAATAAACTTACTCTCTTTTCCAGGCGATTTGACTTCAATTTCACGTTTCCATGTGCCTGTTCACATAATTACATTATTTACTGTAAGCTTTTGTTTGCAATATGTCATACAAATCACTTCATACTGACTTCAAAACTTCCCAAAACTTTAGACTTTGCTTTTGCATCCGGTTCCCGGATTCGAATACGCCCAAATGAAAAGGCTCTACCAATCGATCGCTGCCTTGCAATGTCGATTGATCATGTACTTGGGGCAAAAAAGTATTATCCGCAAAAGAACACATTAATTTTCATTTTCATTCGTTCATGTTATGTTTATAGCATAACAACAAGCGGCACACGGAAATATTATATTGATACATATTTCTAAAAAGTTGACCTTATCAATGCTAAGCAAGATGAATATACATAGCTATACAAAAAAATACAAAGATACACTTTAAATCATGATAGTAATACTGAACAAAAATATAAATGCAACATGCAACAATTTCAAAGATTTTACTAAGTTACAGTTCACATAAGGAAATAAATAAATTGAAATAAATAAATTAGGCCCTAATCTATAGATTTCACATGACTGGGAATCCAGATATGAAGGTAGGGGCGTGGATCATAAAACCAGTCAGTATCTGGTGTGACCACCATTTGCCTCATGCATCTCCTTTGCATGAAGTTGATCAGGCTGTTGATTGTGGCCTGTGGAATGTTGTCCCACTCCTCTTCAATGGCTGTGCGAAGTTGCTGGATGTTGGCGGGAACACGCTGTCGTACGCGTCTATCCAGAGCATCCCAAACATGCTCAATGGGTGGCATGTCTGTTGAGTATACAGGCCATGGAAGAACTAGTTAGTTACTCTAGAAATGACATTGTCAGCTTCCAGGAATTTTGTACAGATCCTTGTGACATGGAGCCTGCATTATCATGCTGAAACATGAGGTGATGGCGGCGGATGAATGGCACGACAATGGGCCTCAGGATCTTGTCAAGGTATCTCTGTGCATTCAAATTAACACAGATAAAATGAAATTGTGTTCGTTGTCCGTAGCTTATGCCTGCCCATTCCATAACCCCACCGCCACCATGGGGCACTCTGTTCATTAAAATTAATTTCTCTACCCTAAGCCAACTCCAATGTCATTTTAGAGAATTTGGCAGTACGTCCAACTGGCCTCACAACCACAGACCACGTGTATGCATCAGCGGTTTGCTGATGTTAACGTTGTGAACAGAGTGCCCCATGGTGGCGGTGGGGTTATGGTATGGGCAGGCATAAGCTACGGACAACGAACACAATTTCATTTTATCTATGTTAATTTGAATGCACAGAGGTACCGTGACAAGATCCTGAGGCCCATTGTCGTGCCATTCATCCGCCGCCATCACCTCATGTTTCAGCATGATATTGCAGGCTCCATGTCACAAGGATCTGTACAAAATTCCTGGAAGCTGAAAATGTAATTTCAAGAGTAACTAACTAGTTCTTCCATGGCCTGTATTCTCAACAGACATGCCACCCATTGAGCATGTTTGGGATGATCTGGATAGACACGTTTTGAGGGAGTGGGCAATTGGCATTCTGACTACAGAAATGTCCACCAGAGCTGTTGCCAGATAAATTAATTGTAATTTCTCTGGCAACAGCTCTGGTGGACATTCCTGTAGTCAGAATGCCAATTGCACACTCCCTCAAAACTTGAGACATATTTGGCATTGTGTTTTGTGACAAAACTGCACATTTTAGAGTGTCCTTTTATTGTCCCCAGCACAAGGTGCACCTGTGTAATAATCATGCTGTTTAATCAGCTTCTTGATATGCCACACCTGTCAGGTGTATGGATTATCTTGGCAAAGGAGAAATGCTCACTAACAGGGACGTAAACAAATTTGTGCACAACATTTGAGAGAAATAAGCTTTTTGTGCCTATGGAACATTTCATTTTCTTTTATTTCAGCTCATGAAACATGGGACTAACACTTTACGTGTTGCGTTAAATTTTTGTTCAGTGTATATGGGAGCTTTTGCCAAATAACCATGTGATTTTTGGTAAATCAGCCCGTACAAAGTGCAAACACACAAGACCACTAATCAAACAATAAACAGATAAGTCATTGGTTTTGGTGAGAGTAGGGAAGGACACACACATATTGAATACAAGCAGTAGATGAACACATGCAGTAGGACGTGAACCCTTTTTTTTTCCAGTAGAGAATATATATCATCATCCTTCTTAGACTATTTCTGATGCTGTAATATTTGCAATTGACCTGCAGTGTGAGTAAACGTTTTAGATGCCTTTCTAAAGATCAATGACTCAATCATGATAGGCCTACTGTCATAAGGATATCATGGTTAGTTACTCTAGAAATAATATTTCTGATATTTTTTGTCTATGTTGTTATAACTGCAAATGCTATGTCTAATACTTTGCTTGTTGCACTGAGATATAGGGCATGAGTGAATGACCAATCGGATTAGGAAAGAATTCATGAATATGTGCCAAACTAGTCTTGCTTTTGTGTTCTATTGATTTTTCATTCCCACTGCCCCTTTGCCCGCTGTGTCCCTCCATCCCTTCCTACCTCTTCTCTCCCCCTCTATCTTTCTTCATCTTCCCTAGATGAGGATTTCAGTCCTATCGTGTGTCTCCCTCCTGCTCGTCTTTGAGGTAAACACAAAGCACCAGTTTCCTGGAGAAAGATAAAAAAACACTCCTGGACTGAAAAGCATGCTAAATGGAGAATCTCCGTTGAAAATGCTTTTTAATCCTGGGTCCGTTGCCTGTATTGACATAGAACAGGATTGATGTTCGGCTTTAGCTTTTAGATCATAATGAATATGATACTATGGACAGGGCAGGGCAGACCTGACGCTAGTTCAGCACTCCTACTCTAAGACCTTTTTTGAATACGGGCCCAGGAGTGTAGGCGTAAATCTGGTTCTGGGAAACAGGCCCATTTTGTATTGTAATATTAAACCTTTTAGGACAAATGCTAATGTGGCACTGAGAAACCTCATGTACCTTACCGCCTCCACCTTCTTGTTTGGTTGTCCATCTCTGTCTCTCTATCCAGCTTTTCTCTTCCTCCGTTGGGGTCCTGCATGGTGTACCTGGCTCCACCCTGGTCTTTCCATGTCTCCCTGGCCAAAATCAACAAAGCTTTGCTGGGGCTAAGATCACCTGGAAATACAAGGACTCCCTGGTTCCAGACTATCCAGAATCCTCAAAGCAACTCAAGCTCTCCCCGGATGGCTTCTTTCTGGAAATCTCTCCTGTCAGTGTAGCCAACGAGGGGGAATATGAATGTGTGATCAAGCTGAATAATATTGAGTGGCAAAAAGTGCACATAGTCCAGGTTGATGGTGAGGACATACTGACACCTCCTATTTTTGTCACAACTGCCTGTGACGTGATGTAGGTCTTTCTTAAAATAGACACTCCACTTCTGGTTTTTACACTCTACTTGTAACATGATTTTTTTTAGAATCATGTTACAAGTTAAAACTCAGTCACCGGTTCACTTTTCATTATTCGTACAGAGTGCCTACATTGTAATACTTAGTAATTCATCTTCGAGTCTATGTCAAGGAGAGAAATAGGACGACAACTTGAGTAGTAGGTTTAGATCACAATGAATAAGGCATTCAGTCGATTTATACATACAGCTCCAGAACTTCACAGTATTCATAGATTGTAATTGTTAAAAACTGGTGAAATATGGGGCCAACTTTTTTTTGCAGTTTAGCAAACTCTGCAGGTCAGCAAACATTGCATGCATTTTGAGGTTGGCTCCAGAAATCAATTCTACTGTTGTGCTGTCTTTGTCTTCCATCTTGGTCTATGTCCCTCCAGTGTCCAGCAGCTACATTCTCAAGGTAATCGAAAGGTCCACTGTGAATTTACCTTGTGAACGCCCACCATCCAGCAAAGACCAGTTCCATTGGTACAGATATGATAAAGGAATGATGAACAGCACACGGAAGCAGTTGAATCCCGCAGAGACTGGAGAAATGGTGGATGGTGACAGACTAGAATGGCTTTTTGGCCCCTTTGAAATAGATATGTCAATCACACTTAATGGGGTCAAAATGGAGGATGCCGGCATGTACTATTGTGACACAGCTGAGGAGGGCAGAGACAGCAGCAACTTTAATACAATTGAGCTAATTGTGGAAGGTACGTTTAGCTACTCTTCTTCTTCTTCTTCTTCTTCTTCTTCTTCTTCTTCTTCGTCTTCTTCTACTACAACTTTTGCCTATATAAACATTTGTTAAATTGGTGTAATTCGCAAATTTAACATCAATTGGTTCCAAATAGCCATAATGCCCAAATGTTACACTCTCACCTGCAATGTTCAAGACACTGTTATTCTCTTGATTTGTTTAAATTATAATCTTCATTCACCATTTCTTTTAGCTGCGCCCACCGTTCTTCCTCACTCCTGCGTTGGGTTCATGACCCCGTGGGAATCGTGTCAGGATGAGACCAGCAGGTCGTGGGAGGCCATGCTAGGAGAATCCCTCAATGAGTTCTCCATGAAGCTTTATGCCCACCTCAGCCAATCGCAGCCCACGGAAAACCTGCTCTTCTCTCCAATCAGCATCAGCGGGGTGTTAACCCACCTATTACTAGGTAAGAAAGAGAGGGTGGGGTTTCTTTAAAAGGGAACATGGGGAGGGGTTGTCCAAGTGCACTCATGCTCTAGACCTCCGTTTTTTTTACAATAAAGCAACGTTCTTGATATAAACTCTTACTGAGTGAATGCTTGACGCATGGTGAGCCAAGTAAAATACATACTGTATATCCTTCCTCTCTCTCTCTCTCTCATTAGGTGCTCGTGGCAAGACAAGGAGAGATATGGAGACGGCTCTCTGTCTGTCTCACGACTTCTTCTGCGTTCATTCCGAGATGAAGAAACTGAAGCTGAAACTTCAGGACACACTGAAGATGGCCTCCCAGATCTACTACAACCCCAGTACTACCAGAGCACAATTAATACTCATGATAATTATAACTTATTCTCCAGCTATTTCTCATTCTCGTCGTATATTGTCAATTTAATCAGGAGTTTGCCATCACCACTTAACTCTCTGCCTGTCTGTCTGTCTGTCCACCACTCTGTCTGTCTGTCTGTCTGTCTGTCTGTCTGTCTGTCTGTCTGTCCACCTCTCTGTCATTCCCTCTCTCTCCCCCCTCAGACATGATGTTGAGTGAGTCCTTTACCAACCAATCCATGCAGTTCTACGATTCAGATCCAGTCAAATTGACCAATAGCAGTGAGGTAAACGTGGAAATGATCAACAGTTGGGTGGCAAAGCAGACAAATAATAAAATCAAAGAGCTGGTCAACTATGTTCCCGCCCACACCGAACTGGTACTCCTCAATGCTGTGTATTTCAATGGTCAGTATCCTGTGTGTGTGTGTGTGTGTGTGTTTGTGATCAAAGTAAGCTCTTGGTAAGCACCGATGCTCTATCTATCTGATAGGATAGTCTATCTTAGCGGATGTGGAGTTTGTGGATTTAAAAAAATATCTGTTTCAGGTCAATGGAAGGTGAAATTTGATGCAAACTCCAAAAAGTTTCCATTTGTGAAACTGAATGGCGATACTGTGAATGTACCTGTCCTTTACAGTGCCAAATACAAATTGGCTCTGCAATATGTCTCGTCAATGAAGGCACAGGTAACCATTTTGATTACACACACCCACACCTACATGCACAGATACACTATAAGCATTCACACACACAATGCACATAACATCCTGACCTTGTCTATCACCCATAGGTGGCGATGTTCCCTCTCTCTGGTGAAAGTAGCCTGTTCATCCTGCTCCCGCCCACTGCCAAGCTCTCTGACCTGCAATTGGTGGAGGGGAAGATGACTGACAAGGCAGTGAGACAGATGGTAGAGCAGATGCATCAGGTGTCTCCCCAGGCCACCGAGGTCACTCTGCCCAAAATCACACTGGACGTCCGGACCGAGATGAACACCCTGCTCAGGAAGATAGGTCTGTCTGTATGCATGTCTGTGTCTATCTGTCTGTCTTTTAGCTTACCTGCTGCCTGACTGTTGGAATTATAAGACTGTGCATTTTGTTGTAGCCACATGATTCAACTAATCACCAAGCCCTTGATTGGTTGAACCAGATGTTTGTGCTTGGCTACAACAAAAATGTGCACATTCAGAAGCAGGAATGGATTTCCCCCTCGTTCTAAGTCAACCTAAACCAACAAAACAAATTCCAATCAGTTCTTGATTTGCCTCTCCCACTCACTTCTCTTCCTCCCTTTCTTCTATCTCCCTCTACCTTCTATTTTTCCTTCTACCCCTCTTCGCTCTCCTTCTCCATATCCCCTTCCTCTTACTCCCCCACCTCTTTCTTCCCTTAGGTTTGTCGGAGCTGTTCGACAGTGCCAACCTGTGTGGCCTCTACCCCGACAAAGAGTTGCTCCTGACGGACGCCCGCCACCGGGCCTTCCTCTCCCTGACGGAGCAAGGTGTAGAGGCTGGGGCGGCCACTTCCCTCTCTTTCTCCCGCTCCTTCTCTTCCTTCTCAGCCCTCAGGCCCTTCCTGATGATACTGTGGAGCGACCAGGCCAAGGCCCCACTGTTCGTGGGCCGAGTGACCAAGCCGTGAGAGGAGGAAGAGAGAGAGGGAGAGAGAGTAGTATGCATATAGAAAAAGCCATGTTTGCAAAGGAAAGGATATTTGCAATAGTATTAGCAGCATTACTTCATTGAGAGATTGTGCTTTTTGACGATACTGTTGTACGCTTAATAATATAATATAAATCGATATAGACTCATTATAATGACATGTTCATTGTAAGTTCATAGAATGACTATGAAAGTGTGTTTTAAAATAAATGCTTGAGAGGGCTTGCTATAGGTTGTCACAAAATGCATGACTTTTAACAAAGAATAAAAGGTGACCTCTCCACATGTGGTATGGACATCTTTTTTGGACAAATGTGCCATTTAAATCTTGTAACATCACTTTATTCTGTCCAACAACGTACACGGTAAGCCACTGAAACGGGTTCAGTTTATTTTGAGAAGTAGTTCCACAAACTCACCTCAGGATGGCAATCACACCGTATGTTCCACATAGAGATAGACAGTACATCAGTGAGTACACAGGGATGCTGTAACAATAGTCCTCCCCCTCCACCCGGTCTCCCCATTCCCTTGTTGTCATTAAAGGAAGACAATGTCAATATCTATGACGATAAAGGTTTTAAAGCAACGGCAGACCGAGTAAAGCATAACATTTAGCAAGTTACCCTGAATTATCCCTTCTTCTTTTTTTTTTTTTACAAACAATAAATTACAAACCAACGAGTACACAGCAGCGATGATAGCTGTAACAGATTTGATCGATGATACCATGTCAATGATATCAACCATAAAGAAATTGGCATTGATCCATGTTAGTTACAATGTTAGTTACATATGCATATATATATGACAATCTTTACACATGCAATTCTTTATTAGAATGTTAAGATGCATGTTTTTTTGTCCCATGATGAACAAAGTCATGTTCGCTTGACCGACAACATACCAAAGTAAAAGGCAGAGAGAATCTGAGTGAAAATAAACCATCAGATCACCTGGACAAGAGAATAAATATCTCCTATTGTTATATCAGAACTTCAAGTCCAAGCCTGGCTTCTCATGATAAGGAATATCCCAGAGAGGGAAGTACATACATACTAAGTAACTTGTGGAATAGACACCGGCTGGAATGCGGTTTTAACCAATCAGCATTCAGGATTAGACCCACCCGTTGTATACATACTCAGTATTACATACAAAAAACCCATGAATGCATCTTTGACAACACATCACATAGTGACGTCGGAGATGTTTATCATTTGATTATCAATTTTACTGTTGTTGCTGCGTGTGGAGAGGCTGTCTGTGTCGTCATTGGTGTGCATAGAGAAGAACAGATTCCGCCCTCTCCACTCCACCACCATCTTTGTCAAAGTCACTCAACGTGTGTTCTTGGTGACCGCGAAAGATGAGACGAACTGAACTTCTCTCTCGTCGTCTCAAAGTTCAGTCCCTAGCTTTGACGATCCATGATCCGTGTCACAGGCCCCCTACATTTGATCTCTAGCCATGCAGAATCGTCTTTGTTTTTTTGCTATCCATGATGACGCCTTCATTCACACCTTTGTCCAAGTACAGAATTACAAACACAGAGATCCCAGACAACAATTAGAAAGTAAGAAAAACTCCAGGAGACTGTTGACTGACTGAGATGTCTAATTGACACTACAGGGCCGACCCAAACCATACTGTGCTGGCCTGGATATTTTCTTTTCGCATTGTCCTTTTTTTCGTTCCAGCAACTACAGTAGATGAGTAATGAGGCCAGTGCAGTACAGCTTGGCTTGACATGGCTGTGTTTGGCTCAGTAGTGTGAAAAGGGTAATAGTGTGCTTTAGTGGACCAACGTTGGAACTATAAGGTGTTCAAACTGTAGCCAGGGGCCACAGGGTTGGGCCTCAGTCCTTAGGGTGGTTAACCCCTCGAGGTCTGTCTCTGGTGAAGGAATCCATGGTAAGAAGTCACTGTCTACTTTCTGCCTGTGTTTTCTTGTTGCAAGGGATTGTGGGGGAGTGGGGTGTCCGTGAGTGCGTTTAGATTCAGTGCATGAACACGCACACACACAGACATGTACACACACGCACACACACTTGCAAGCAAGCATGCACACACACACACACACACACACACACACACACACACACACACACACACACACACACACACACACACACACACACACACAAACGTTGTGTCGGTATCCTTTGATCCTGCATGTACATTAGTCCATGATTGTCCACACAGTCCAGTGGTCGAGCCTCTGAGAAGAATTGTTGCCATGCTGAGTATAATTCATCACGGCCAATCTCTCTTTCCTCTGTGGAAATCCATCACAGAGCGGGGGGGATCTCTGCTGTCCATCCCCGCAAGTCTGGTAGTCTTTTAAGCTCTGTGGGCAGTCCTCTATCTCATAAAAACAGCCTGGGTAGTCTCTCTCACATAGTTCACTAAACAAACCCTAACTCCTAGACCTAGACACTTCTTGATATCCTTCTCTTAGACCTGAATAGATGAGTAAATTGATAAAATCTCAAATTAACCTATTCCTTTGGCTACAGGTGTTTTTGCAATCTTTTTTGCAATATTTCTCACACCAATATATATTTTTTTAAATCTCCAGGATGGAACATTTGAATGTCTTAGTGTAAGGGCGCCGAGAAGTGTAGGAGGAAACTCCCTAAGTCCTGGAGAGCTACTGGGATGTGCATGCTTTTGTTCCAGCCCTGCACTAACACACCCGATGACACTTATTGTCGTCCAGACTGCATTAGGCTGGAGCTGGAGCAAAAGCCTGCACAGTAGTTGGTATTTGATAACCTCTGATAACTCCTCTTTAGAGTAGGGGGCAATAGTTTGTTTGAGACTGTGCCGCGGAAATCTCTCTGCACAGCTTTCAAATCACTCAAAGTCAAAGGTCAAAGGGCACAGAACAGGGGTCAGAGTATAATCCAGACTGAGGGTTATTTTGTGTGACTGTCACCAAGGAAAAGTGACTCACTGGACTGCCAGCCACATGTGACAGGACATCAGTTTGTTAGATCAGGGGGACATCCAGGGAACATAGGAGTGAGTCTCGTCTCTTTTTTTCTGTCTTTCTTCACAGCTCCATGCTTCGGGGTTCATGGATGGAGACATTTGGAGAAGGACGTGACACGCTTACAGACAAACACACACACGTGCACACACACATTTGTATGCAAAATGTATGCACACACACATTCACTCACACACAAAGACAAACACAAAGGAGGATATAGGAGATACAAACATCCACTGTCATCACGTACAGACATCGGACAAGTACACAGAGACAGTACAGTCAGATGGATCCTTTTGTGCTTTAACGTTATGGTGTGCCAGTTTGCATCAGAGAGACAACCACCATAATAAAAATATATAGCAGGTGACTTACCCAAGTTGTCCTCGTCATTTGGGTACTTTGTGTAGTAAATCAGGGATGCAGAGGAGGGTAAACACATGCTAACGCTGTTAACGCAGCTTGGTGAATACTGTTTTCACACCTATTACGCTAAATTAGTGATAGCACTGTTAGCACTATTAGGGCTGTTAGTACTGTTAGCATTGTTAGTGCTGTTAGTACTGTTAGCATTGTTAGCGCTGTTAGTACTGTTAGCATTGTTAGCGTTGTTAGCATTGTTAGCGCTGTTTGTATTGTTAGCACAGTTAATGCTAGAACTGAGTCATAAGTAAATGCATACGTGGAGTGTGTCTGAAAGTTGACGTGGCGAAAGAAGTGGGTGGATCAACACAAGTGGGTTTATGGAAAGCAAATCAGCTAATTGGGCAGATTTGTTGGCTCTAGAAACCGTTTTGCGTGGCTGATTGGGCTGCACGAAGAGTGTATAAGCCAGTGCGAATGACTAGTGCACCGTTGTTGTTGTATGGAGGTGTCTTGCTTCCCACTGGGCAGCTGTATCAGCTGTGTCGCCAGCAGTAGCTAACATAGCCATTTTTTGCCCTCCCATTATTTTATTTCAAGTAGGATAGCAGATTACACAATAAATAACTAATATTGCTAACTATGTATCACCTTGATACAGTCTACTCAATAGGGAGGGCATGAACGGCAACAACACCGGGACACAGTGTTCTTCGCTACCACTTACTAAGCACCTTTGTCCCGCAACGGCTTGGGAAGTAGCTACCTAGTGTAGCCAACATCAGGGTGACAGTCACAGTAAGCACACACATACAACGCATACAAGCAACAGTAATTTTAATAAAAAATAAACAATTGTCAGTTTTATTAACTGAAAATATACAATTATTTGTAACAGTGAAATACAATTTGGACTCATCTTCTGGCTTCAAAACAGAAGTCCAAACACTCGCGGTACGGTAGTTGCATGGTAAGAAACGAAAAACAACACCGCTCAGTCAAAACAGTCTAACCAATAACAGAGCGCTGATGTTACACCCATCGCTGTTGATCCACCCACTTTATTTGCCACGGCCACTTTCAGAGACACACCAAGTATGCAGTTACCCATACTTGCAAGAACTGTTAAAGCAGTTAGCATTAGCGTTGCTAGACGCCAGTCATCTCAACCGGGCGTTCAGTGCTGTTACCCACCTTTTTCAACTACATCCCTAGTAGAAATCACCTGATGACTACAACGTTCGTAACAAGACCTTGTTGGGCAATGGGCCCAAAGGTGCTTACAGACTGTTCCAGTATTGTAGTTACAGTGCAGGTAAGAGGTTCTACACTATTAATGTGTAAATTTGAATGACTGAAATGCAAGTGACTTCACAATATAGAGGGCTAAGGTAAAATTTCTTAGCACTTTCACGTTAAACACTTCAATGAGGGACATTTTCAGAAATTGATTTACTTAGAAAAAAGCTAAATTGGGATAATTACCTATAATATTATTTGTATTATAATTAATATTATTATTGTTATTATTATTATTTCATCATTATCATTATTGCATGTTTTATCACTATTATTACTTTGTTACTTTATTATTTATTTATTCATCATTCATTGATTATCATTTAATAATTGCGATAAAGGGTGTGTGTGTGTGTCAGTCACTGCGGGGGGGCCTCTGGAGGGGCTCCTTGCTGCGTGAGGGTGTGCCAGTACTCGACTTTCTTGCCGATGTGTTTGAGACACTCAAACCAATGTTTCAGCCTCACTCCCTTAGCATTTATGCCCAGTTCAACTCCACCTGAGAGAGAGGGAGGGAGAAGGTGGAAGGGAGAGAGACAGAGAGAGAGAGAGAGAGAGAGAGAGAGAGAGAGAGAGAGAGAGAGAGAGAGAGAGAAAGAGAAAGAGAGGGAGAGGTAAGAGGAAGAAGGAGAGAAGAGAAAGAAAAATGAAATCTTTAAGTCAGGTGAGTCCACGAGAAAAACATATTTTACATGAACAACCTAGCTACCAACAGACAGACAAACAGACACGCAGACAGACCCACAGAGAAACACGCAGGGAGACACACGGGGAGACACATAGACAGACCCACAGGGACACACAGGGAGACACACAGGGAGACCCACAGGGACACACAGACAGACACACAGACAGACCCACAGGGTCACACAGGGAGACACACAGACCCACAGACAGACCCACAGGGACACACAGGGAGACACACAGACCCACAGGGACACATAGACCCACAGGGATACACAGACAGACCCACAGGGACACACAGGGAGACACACAGACCCACAGGGACACACAGACAGACCCACAGGGAGACACACAGACCCACAGGGACACACAGGGAGACCCACAGGGACACACAGGGAGACACACAGACAGACTCACAGAAACACACAGGGAGACACACAGACAGACCCACAGGGACACACAGGGAGACACACAGACAGAACCTCTCTCTCTCTCTCTCTCTCTCTCTCTCTCTCTGTCTCTGAAACACAGACAGACCCACAGAGACAGACCTACAGGTCTGTAAGTCGCTCTGGATAAGAGCATCTGCTAAATGACTAAAATGTAAATGTAAATGTTCACACAGGGAGACACACAGACCCACAGGGACACACAGACAGACCCACAGGGACACACAGACAGACCCACAGGGACACACAGGGAGAGAGAGAACAGCAAGAAAAAGGGGAGAGATTAAGAAAGGGGGGAATTGAGAGGGATAAATAGCGATAAATTGACAGATAGGAAAAGGAGAGAGAGAGATGAAGAGAGAGAGACAGAGTCATCACTGGGGGGGGGTCATCAGACAGATAGCGGTTTTCCTGGCTGTGATTGCACAGTTGACGGAGCGTGAAGTTTTAAAACACAGTATTTAACAGACGCCGGCTTTCACAACGCCTGAAACACGCTCATTAGCTCATCTGTGGCCCCACTAAGCCTTGGCATTAAACTTCCCTTCATATACAGTGAGAGGTGTGGGGGAGGTTAATACTGTCTCTTACATAACTCACACACATCCCACTGGGCACAGACGTCAATTCAACATCTATTCCATGTTGGTTCAACGTAATTTCATTGAAATGATGTGGAAGCAACGTTGATTCAATCAGTGTGTGCCCAGTGGGATGTGTGTAATTGTATGTGCGCAAACAAACCTCGCGCCCGCTTAGCGCCCAAGTCTCAGAGAGAAGTGTGTTTGGATAGTCTTCTCACGTACCTTCCCAATGACCCCTTCTCATTCTTGCCACCCCCAAACACACACACACACACACAGTCGTACACACACACCTGACCTGTTTGCCGCGTTTGTCTAGGCCTCTCACGTACCCCGCTAATGACCCCCAACCCCCCCCCCCCCCCCTCCACACACACACACACACACACACAAACAGATCGATACCGTGTTCCCTGAGCCCGGAGGGGTGTGGGTGACAAACGGCGGGCGACAGTGTGACGCGGCGTGGGACAAGAGAAAGAGGGATGAGAGAGAAACACTGATGGATGGGATGAGATGGTTGAGGGAGGGAGGACCAGGCGGGGCCATCCCACTCCCTATCTCTTTTCCTCCTCTTTTATTCCTCCCCTTCTCCTCCTTCCTCGACACCTCTGTCTTTGTGCAAAATGAGAGGTCCAGTCCGCCCATCAATTGCTCCCACAAATCAGAGGGGACACTGCTACTCTCTCTCCGTCTCTCCTCCTATCTCTCTTCCTTCCATAATTACTCTTTTCCTTTCATTTTTCTGTCCCTTATCTTCTTCCTCCATCATTCTTCCTGACCTTTACAGAGAGTATTTGACACCACATTTTTCTCCCTCTGCTCTATCCATCTTATCCCTTTTTCCCTCTCAGTCACTCCCCCCTTTCTCTTTCCCCCACTTCCTCCCCTCTCGCTCTGTCTCTCCCAGTATCACAGTCATTTTCCACAGTGCTAACAGATCTAGGCCGTCGTGTATGTTGGCCATTACACCATAACAATAATGATAACAGTCATGGGGGAGGTTAGCCGGAACAGTGTGTTAGAGCAATGGCCTTTTCCCCCTACTCTTCTGGCGAAGGTAATAACTCACAAACGTTATGGCCCCAGCGTGAGAGAGAGAAAGAGAAATAGAGAGAGAGAGAAAAAAAAGCATGAGAGAGAGGGATGGAGGGAGAGAGAGACAACATGAGGGGGTGTGAGTGAGAGAGAGGGATAGAGAGAGGGCATGAGGGAGAGATTGAGCGGGCATGAGATAAATAGAAAGCCTGAGTTGGAGAGAGAGAGAGAGAGAGAGAGAGAGAGAGAGAGAGAGAGAGAGAGAGGAGAGAGAGAGAGAGAGAGAGAGAGAGAGAGAGAGAGAGAGAGAGAGAGCGAGAGAGCGAGAGAGCGAGAGAGAGAGAGAGAGAGAGAGAGATAGAGAGCGAGAGAGAGAGAGAGAGAGAGAGAGATAGATAGAGAGCAAGAGAGAGAGAGAGAGAGAGAGAGAGAGAGAGAGAGAGAGAGAGAGGGCACTAGGGAGACAGTCGGAAAGAGAGAGAGACTCAGCCTGTTACAGGGAGCCTCCAGACGGGAGTAAAACACTTTGATCTCAAGGCCTTCCAGATCCCTACAATCCATTCTCCCCCAGCTGCCTCCCCACCGGTTCTCCCTCACTCCTGCCTCCTGTGATATACAGTACAAGCCGGGCCACGTCAGAGCCGTTTAGTGCCTCACAAAGCAGTGGGAATCCGACGTGTCACCCCGTTGAGGGATTGAGTACTCCTTTCTGTCGCTCTCGCTTTCATTTCATCCCCCTCTTCAGTTCTTCCATCCTTTCACTATTTCTTCTTCTCCTCTTCTCCCTCCCTCTCTTTTACCTATGACGTCATTGCTCATCACACTGTGGCCCGCGTTGCTCTCCTCCTCGCACCCACATATTCTATTTACATTATTTTCTTTAGCTATATTTCTCGCTCTCTACCTCTCTCCTCATTTCACCCACTCCCCCTTTCTCTTACCTATGAAGTCGTTGCTCATCCCCAGATCATAGTCCCATACGGAGATCTCCAGGGTTTTCTTCGCCAGCTGGTCGTGTGGAACTTCATACACAAACTCCTGTAAGGAACAGAGGTAGCGAGAGAGAAAGATGTATTCACACTTAGCGGAAAGTTATTCAGATTATGTTTAACATTGAATGTGAAACATGTATTGACTTAAATTCATGTTGATGGTAGGGTGCGTAGTTATGCAGTCTTGAAGGAGATGGAACATGTTTTCAAATTATGGCACATACTGTATACAGTACTCTGCATTTGGAATAAAATTATGGAATTACACTACCGGTCAAAAGATTTAGGACACCTACTCATTCAAGTGTTTTCCTTTATATTTACTATTTTCTACATTGTAGAATAATAGTGAAGACATCAAAACCATGGTCGAATTGCTGCAAAGAAACCACTACTAAAGGACACCAATAAGAAGAAGAGACTTGCTTGGGCCAAGAAACACGAGCAATGGACATTAGACCGGTGGAAATTTGTCCTTTGGTCTGGAGTCCACAAATTGGAGAACGTTGGTTCCAACCGCCATGTCTTTGTGAGATGCGGTGTGGGTGAACGGATGATCTCTGCATGTGTATTTCCCAACGTAAAGCATGGAGGAGGAGGTGTTTTGGTGTGGGGGTGCTTTGCTGGTGATTTATTTAGAATTCAAGGCACACTTAACCAGCATGGCTCCCACAGCATTCTGCAGCGATACGCCATCCCATCTGGTTTGGGCTTAGTGGGACTATCATTTGTTTTTCAACAGAACAATGACCCAACACACCTCCAGGCTGTGTAAGGGCTATTTTACCAAGAAGGAGAGCGATGGAGATGACCTGGCCTCCACAATCCCCCGACCTCAACCCAATTGAGATGGTTTGGGATGAGTCGTACCGCAGAGTGAAGGAAAAGCAGCCAACAAGTGCTCAGCATATGTGGGAACTCCTTCAATACTGTTGGAAAAGCATTCCAGGTGAAGCTGGTTGAGAGAATGCCAAGAGTGTGCAAAGCTGTCATCAAGGCAATGGGTGGCTATTTGATGAATCTCAAATATAAAATATATTTTGATTTGTAACACTTTTTTGTTTACTACATGATTCCATATGTGTTATTTCATCGTTTTGATGTCTTCTCTATTGTTCTACAATGTAGGAAATAGTAAAAATAAAGAAAAACTCTTGAACGAGTAGGTGTTCTAAAACCTTTGACCGGTAGTGTAAATGCATGGGACAATAATGTATTCACAAATGCATAAGAAGGGGTAGGCTATAGCTTTCCATCCCTTCCAAGGGCGTATAATTCAACAAACAACATTAGTATAATATATTATATATTTTGCACATCTAGTTGCCAAATGTGAGTCAGAGAAATGGGTTGCCAAATACAGATGTAGGATCTTAATTTGATCACACTTTTGTTGCTGAGAATGTTCCTGCACTGCAGGAAATGCAAACTTGTAGGGTATTTGAGTTTTAAAAAGGCTTCTAAAGTTTGTGAATTCCACTTTGAAATTTCAGACTTGATTTGCCCTAACGAAAAATGTATGAACCCCAAAAATTTTCATTAATTATATAATAATTCAAATTTCTTGTTGCTACAGGATAATTGTCCTGCTGTAGCAAACTGCTCAAATTAAGATCCTACATCGGTATGTGTTTATTGGGAGAATGCCAGATATTAGTTTACTGGAAGGTTGCCAGGTATTGGTTTATGTATTAGGGAGAGTGTATTGTGGTGCTCAGAGCGGGTGGAAGTACCTCATTAAACTCGGGATTGAGAGTTTTCTTCTTCACTGTGGTTTTGTACTTGGACTTTTTCCCCATATCAGGCTGCAGCACACTGAGAGAGAGGGGGAGAAAAGAGCGAGGGAGATATAGAGAGAAAGGGAAGGAGGGGATGAGAGAGTGAAAGAGAATGAGGCATAGTGAGAGAGAGTTAGAGGGCAAGGGAGAGCACAGAGGAGAAAGAGAGCAAGCGAAAGCGAGATCGAGAGGGAGAGGAAGAGAGAAATACGAAGGGAGAGGAGGAGAATGAGAAAAATAGGAAATCTTAATTAGACAGTTGACATGACGACTGAAAATGCCGCTTTTCCCCTATATTTCTGATACAGGTCTTTTATTACTTTGGAAACATCAAAGCAAATTATCTTCCATTTTGTCTTCCGCCCCGGCATGACATTAAACCTCACCGGAACGAGGGAGGAAAATAGAACAAAGAGAGACAGAGCGTGTGCAAAATTCTGAAAGCGTGAGAGAAAAAAAATAGAAAGAAATTCAGAGAAGAAAACTTTCATTTCATTTTTTGGGGGAAAGGGCGAGAGAAATCGGTGATGAGAGAGTCAGAGACTCAAAAGCTTAAGCCAAGAGCGGGACAGACGGCTTCCCAGAAGGCCATTGGTTTTTATTGGAGGAGTCATCAGCATAAATTCAGGCGGAGAAGTCAAGATGTTCTAGCGGGGGAGAGATATCTCACTCCCCAACGCCACCCACCTTCAGCCCAACGTGAATAACACGTACTCGCTGACAAGCTAACAGATGTGCTGCTAGGGTTGGGGTTTGTACACAACAACAAGACAGGAGGGAGGGAGAGAGGGATGAGAGCGAGAAAGAAAGAGGCAGTATGAGAGAGTTTTCAACCAACCCAGTGAAAGAAATAAACAAATTGTGTTTGTTTGAGAAGAGGGAGAGAGGGATGTTTAGAGAAAGAAAGAGATAGAAAGATGAAAGAGGACTGGCCTCCCCTCAGAGCCTGGTTCCTCTCTAGGTTTCTTCCTAGGTTCCTGCCTTTTCTGGTGAGTTTTTCATAGCCACCGTGCTTCTACATCTGCATTGCTTGCTCTTTGAGGTTTTAGGCTGCTGATGTAAAAAGGGCTATATAAAACAAATTTGAATTTGATTGATTGATTGAGATAGAGAAAGAGAGTCATCAACCAACCCAGTGAAAGAGAGAAAGAAATTGGGTTAGAGAAAATACAAGCTAGGAGAAAAATCAAGACAGAGAGAGGGATGAAGGGAAAGAGACAAAAGAGTGAAAGAATGAGAAAAACAGCCAATTTCACACAGAGAATGAAGATAGAGAAACAGAGTGACAGTTGGATAGCGGGGAGAGGGAAGACCGAGGAGAGAGAGGAGCAAAACAAACCGCCCAGTTTAGAGGCTCACACATCCACACAGCACAGGCTAAAATGACAGTTTGCTCACTCAGCACCAGAGGAACAGACTGCATTCCAAATAGCACCCTAATCCCAACAGAGCCCTATGTGCCATGGTCGAAAGTAGTGCACTATGTAGGGAATAGGCTGCCATTTGGGATGTAAAGAAACTGACATCCTTGTTTCAAATATATAATGTATTTTCATGGCGTCTGGTTTGAAGCAATTATGAAATGCTCTAATATCTTAGTTCATCTGTATTAACGGAGTGAGGAAAACAGAGGAAAGGCAAGTAGGCAACACACCAGCACTACTGGAGAGGTTTATATTGGTCTTTAAAATGTTGATGGAACGTTGCTCTAATATTTCAGTTGATCTGTATCCGAGAAGAGAGGAAAACAGAGGAATTTAAAAGAAAGGCAGGCAACCCACCTAGAGCAACTGACCAAGAGATCAATATTGGTCTTCAAGACATTGATGGAACAGCCTCTTGGTCATTCGAAACAGGGCAGAGGGGGTTGTGTGGGTGATTGTGATTTTGATATACGGTTAACTGAATTGTAAAGGCCAGTAGTAGGCGGCTCAAACCATAGGAGCCTATCACATCTTGGAAAGGCTAGGAAAAGGCCCCCTGGATATTTGCAATGAGAAGTTTTTCTGCACAGAATTAAGTACAACATAATATATACACCTCTATGGTTATTATAAGAGTGCCTGAGTCAGGAATCTCCAAGTCCAAGATCTCCAGCCATACAATCTTGGATGAGCTACTGGGTGTGCAGGCTTTTGTTCCGGCCCAGCATTTTTTTTTTCAAACAGCCAATGACGATCATACTCTTGTTTGAATAACCTGTGTAGTTGCTACTGCTACTGACAGTATTGACAGCATTGATATTTACATTTACATTTAAGTCATTTAGCAGACGCTCTTATCCAGAGCGACTTACAGTTAGTGAGTGCATTCATTCTTTTTTATACTGGCCCCCTGTGGGAATCGAACCCACAACCCTGGCGTTGCAAACGCCATGCTCTACTGAGCTACATGTTTGATTGACACGACTAGTGCGACATTTCCCTGCGAGGGTATATAGGTGCCTCCAACATTTTTCCTACTCAAGGCTCTGATGAAGGTGATTCATGCCGAAATGTAAGCCTATTGGTTGTTTCTCCCATCAATAAATCTATTAGATTTACCCAGCAACAGAGTGCTGCTTCTTTATTCTTTATTCTCCCGGATAGTCACCAGTTGAAGTATCCTGGGGTAAGGAATGTTTTTTGGAGTCAACATTGATTGTTTGAAACTGACATCCTTGTTTCACACAGCTCTGCCCCGCTCTGCCTCGTTTCTTTTTTGGCTCTCGTTGAAGGCCCCTAGACATTTGTAATGAGAAGGTTATTAAGAGTCTGACTCAGGGACTCTGAGAACCCGTTTTGTCTTGCTCTTGGCTCCAGCTTTTGACTCGCTCATCGATGATTAGCATTTCTTGTTTTTGTCTCACTCCTCCTATCCCTCCTAAAAATTAAATCAAAGTTATGGCTCTGAAATAGTGTCATCATTGACCATTTTTCGAATGCTCTGTCTCTCGTTCTTCTCTTTCCTCACATTAGATGTGTTAGTGCTGGGTTGGAGCAAAAGCTTGCACACCAATTAGCTTTCCAGGACCAGAGTTGGAGACCCGCAGCCATAAGTTGTACTGCGTCCCAAATGGCACCCTATTCTCTATAAAGTTTACCCTATGGGCCCTGGTCAAAAGTAGTTCACTAAATAGGGAATAGGGTGCCATTTGGGATGTAACCAATGTGTAAGTTCATATGACCCCAAACTTGAACCTTGCTTTATCTCTTAACATATTTTCTGCAGGGGTATGTGAAACTGCAGACAGCACACAAATCAGCTTCCAGCTTAGTGTACTGTAGGCTATATCTGTATGTGTTGATATCACATGCACACATGCACGCGCACACACAAAGATGCACACACACACACGCTAAGTCCCTGACCTGCCTCTACACTCCAGCCAACTACTGCTGTGCAGGTGTGTCACACTGACCGAAGCAATGCATTCTGGGATGCCAGGGGCATAGCGGATCTTAGCTTCTTGCTTCCATAAAAGTAGGTTTCAGCGATACACACACTGAGACAGAGTGAGAGAGAGAGAGTGGCATCCACACGCACCGCAGTTACTCTCCTACAGACAGTGAGAATAAGTCTGACAGGTGACAATCACACACAGGTCGCATCCCAAATGGCACCCTATTCCCTAAAGCACTACTTTTGTTTTCAAGCCCTATGGGCCCTGGTGAAAAATAGCACACTAAATAGGGAATAGGGTGTAATTTGGGACACATCCTGGGCCCATAGGGCTCTGGGCAAAAGTAATGCACTATTTAAGGAATAGGGTGCCATTTGGGATGCATATCTTGGCTGTGTTTCATAGCATCAATTCTGCTTAGTCACTGATCACTGACTCACTGAGCAGACTGACTGATCTATAAATCACCTTTGCCTCCTAAATACCTACTCTAACTGTAATTTGTAGATCAGTCAGTAGATCTAGATTGATACTCTCAATCACGGCCAAGGAGTCAGGGTCACAGTTTGCAAGCAAGTGCAGGGGCAGCACTTATAACTGTAAAAGTTACAGAGTGCCATGAGTGGAAAATGAGGACTCACAATTCTTATGATGATGAAACGTCAATGCTTTTAACCTAAATAAACATTATTTTTTACTTTAAGAGTGAGAGCTGCACCTTTTTCCCCTCATGTAAAACTTACATTTCAGCAGCACCTCTACTCAGTTTTGAGCACTGTGTACAGACTTAGGTTATAGAGTATGCCTTTAAACCATCATCACAAACAGTACAGGCAAATAGTTACTATCTTTGAGGAACTACAATAGAACACAGACAGGCATCACAGAACTCGCCAAAACAGGATCAACAGGACTCAATACTCAATACAACAGCAGCCGCCGTGGCAACACTCCACTGCTTCTGATACTACCGACCAGCTTGACTGAACACACTTCAAACAAACACACAGAACAACTCCCCACTGTACGAGAAGAGAGACGGTGTCTCGAATGCAGCTCAGACATAATAGGCCACTAACTACACAGCAGGTGGTGAATTTCAAAGAGATTTGAGACTGAAAGAAGCGACAAGTGTTTCAAACGCAGCTCAGACATAGGCTACTAAACAACAGGCAGTGTATGCCAAGGAAATAAAAAGAGAGTTGTGGCTGTACAAGAAGAGAGAGCGAGAGGGTCGAACGCAGCTCAGATATAGACCTTGCTCCTGAATAACAGGCAAGGCATCTCAAAGACAGAAATGATGAGAAACTATAAGAGAAAAGAGACTTGAAGGCAACTCAGACAGAAGCCTACTTAATCACATGGAGTGGATGTCGTGGACAAATCATTTGATTTGTGACAGTAAAACAACAGAGTGCCTTGAACGTTAACTCAGATACTAAACAACAGACACTGCACGTCAAAGACAGCAAAAGATGAGAAACTCTCAAATAAGAGAGTGCCTAAAATACGATTTGTGACTGTAAAAAAAGAGAGCTCCTTGAACGCAGCTCTGACATACTAAACAACAGATACTGCAAGTCAAAGATTTTAAAAAAGAGATTAAAGATGGAGAAAAAATGTAAAAGCGGGGAAAATGAGAGAAAAACTGAGACAATCTCTCGGCTCCAGGACTCTATCGCGCCATACATCAAAATAGAGGCAGATAAGACACCCAGCTCTGGCTCTAAAGAACAGGAACAAATCAATGAACAGCAAAAAGTGGAGAAAAACAAAATAAGGAAAAAAAGAAAGAAAACCATCTCTTTTTGTCTGCTTACTGCTTCTCTGCTTCGTTTCTTTATCTGATTCTAGTCTGGACTGGAAGAAGTTCGCTTCACAGCTCAGTAATCTCAATGGGGAGGTTGGTTGAGTAGTATGCGTTTCAGGGAGTCATGAATGAGAATGAGAGTATATGTAGTCAGTGATGGACCTCTTTTTGCCCCATTGACTAACCTCTTCTCTCCATCCTTTGGTGTTTAGATTGAGTTCCTACTTCCTACATATTTTCCTAAATCTCAATAGGGATGGGGGAGGAGTGTATATGAGGGAGTCATGAATGAGAATGAGGATATGTGTAGTCATTAATAAACCAATTTTCCTCTCGACTAGCATCTTCTCTCCATCCTTACGCCCACTGACTTCCGAGATACAGTCACATTCCATAAGCTCAATCTCTCATATTGATTGGTGATGCATTAAACATCTCTCTGTGTGTGTGTGTGTCTCTCTCTCTCTCTCTCTCTCTCTCTCTCTCTACCTCTCTCTACCTCTCTTTACCTCTCTCTACCTCTCTCTACCTCTCTCTACCTCTCTCTACCTCTCTCTACCTTTGAATGCTTGGCTCTGAAAAGCCAACTGACATTTACTCCTGAGGTGCTGACCTGTTGCACCCATGGCCATGTACTTTTATAATCTCCACCCGGCACTATATTTCTTCCTAGGTTCCTGCCTTTCTAGGGAGTTTCCTAGCCACTGTGCTTCTATATCTGCATTGCTTGCTGTTTGGGGTTTTAGGCTGGGTTTCTGTATAAGCACTTTGTGACATCTGCTGATGTAAAAAATTAATATATTTGATTGATTATACATTTATTATTATTTGTACCGTTGTCCAATCTCATCTTGGATTGTACACTTGATCTTATACACTTGATCCCTGAATATGGGAATTCACAACAATCTTTACATTCAAGTCCCACCCTTCCTCACCACAGTTTACAAACAAGTGCAGGGGGAACCCAGAGCCCTATACTACGAATCAGAGCCCTATACTACGAATCAGAGCCCTATACTACGAATCAGAGCCCTATACTATGAATCAGAGCCCTATACTACGAATCAGAGCCCTATACTATGAATCAGAGCCCTATACTACGAATCAGAGGGGTATACTACGAATCAGAGGGGCATATTACGAATCAGAGGGGCATACTACGAAGCAAGCTAGAACTACTCAGGGTTTTCTAAAGCTAGCCAGCTTCAGTTAGCTTCACATTCCAGCTCAGGCTTAATCCATACTACGACGGTGGATATTGCTAGTTTGCCTTGCTGCTAACTCTAGCAGGCTTCTAACTGCACGTGGATAGTCGAACGCCGAACTCTTCATTGAGACAATGCTGAAACATCAATCCATGGGCGAGTCAGTGCCACATTTTCATTTGTGCCAAAATCATCTTGCAAATTCAGCAGGCTATGGTGTCAAATAGGCTTTTAGAAGTGCTGTCTTTATTTGATTACTGATCATGAATGCCATCTTTGGTGTGTTTTGGGGTGCTTATCAATGCACAAGCACCTTTTCCCTTCTCCTATTGATAAAATAATTGTATTAAGTCCTACAAAAATTTTACTGTGGGTGAAGTTTTAAATGCATTCTGTTATTGCTAAATATGTAACGTGATAGGTATTTTAACATTAACCTTTTTTTAACACACCCAAAAACAATTTATTAAAATATTTAATCAGTCATCTTCCTCAAATGAAGGGGATGATGACGCAACCTTTGCGAGAGGGAGGGAATCTGATTTCATTAGTGCTCAACTCGCAGCAAAGACACTTTATAAAATCCTGAGTAGATCATAGTATACCACTCTGTTTCAATCAAAAGCTACAGATTATGCCTGTAAAGCACCATCTCAACACAATCAACACTACAAGCTAATAGCAAGTTGGTTATTTTTTGTGAAACCATGTAGGCGTAGAAACGGAATCTATTGACTGTTGGGGATTTTCATATTCAGGTGTGAAGTGTATGAATAATGATGATCTGTTTACACCAAGAATGTGTCCCAAATGACATCCTATTCTCTTGTTAGTGTACTACCTTTGACCAGGGCCCATAGGAAATATGGTGCCATTTGGGACTCTGGCTCAGCCTGAATGCTCTGTCAAGACATGATGCCTACAGTATATGTACAGTACAGGTTGTCATATGAATAACAATGAACCTCCTAGCTTACATAAAGCCAGCACAGTGATTCCCAATGTGCTCCTAGGAAACCTTTCACAACTGCACATTTTGGTTCCAGCCCAGAACTAGCACACCCAGCACACCCGATTCAACTAATCACAGGCTTGACGAGTAGCTGATTAGTTGAATCAGGTGTACTATTTTCCCAAACTGGAAGAGAAAATATGCAGTCCAAGGGGTATTGTAGGACCAGATTGGGAAACATTGACTATTGGCAGTGTAGACTCTAGAGAGTAATAGCAGTTGATTATTGATTTATGTTACATGTATTTATTTATGCCAGTCAGTCTCCCTATGAATTTGTATGGAGCATAAGTAAGGTTTCAATGTGTCATGATTCATGAATCATGCACTAAAACAAGGTTGTGGTAGAGACTGTCAATGTGACATGTGTAGTCATTCCACATAGATATAACCAGCATCAGTGTGCTAGCTTAGCATACAGCGCTGCCTCCCTGAACTTGCCTCTGACTGGGCTTGAACCAGGGTCCTCTACCTCACCAACACACCTGACAACATACAAACCAGTTGAGCTATAGAAAAGGATCCAAATTGATAGCACCATTGGCGAGATTTCAAGCTAGCTGTGGAGTAAGCTTTCCTACTCCCTTCATCTAATAATGTCGAGAGCCTTTTCTTTTTAAGGGGGTAGATCAGTTTTATTATTGCAGATAGATTGTGGCTTCCATCAATGTAATTGTCTGCATCATTTCCAATCCCCCATATATATATATTTTTGTAAATTTATAAAATATATATATATATATATTTTTAATATATATTTTCCTTTATTATGTTCTCCTAACCCTACCACCCCTCCCCTAATTGGAGTAAACTAATTGACAACAACACCTAGTCTTCTACTTCCAGCTTATACATACTATATATATTTTACGGACACAGTATATTTTACAATAGTTATCTTTTGTTTGTTTTTAGTCGCATCCTTCAGCTACCCTCAATCCCTCCCATCTAACTCTGAAGACCATATTGTTTTGATTTCTATTTGCCATATATTTTTCAACTGTGCTGTTTCACAAAAGTTCTGAACCTATATACATTTTACGGACCCAGTATATTTTACATTAATTATCTTGTTATTTTTTGTCCGACCCTTCAGCTCCACTCAAGCCCTCCCATCTATCTCTGAACACCATCCAATTTAATTACTATTTGCCATATATTTGTCAACTGTGCTGTGATGTTTCACAAATGTTCTGAACCTTTCTTTTCTCATAGTTTCTAAAGATGATAAATGAAAGACACATTTTTTTGCTAAGAGTACTATATTATTGATCGATTGACTACGACTTTTCAAATCACCCAGCAGTGCTATCTGCAGAGTTAGCTCTAGGTAAATGTTGCAATTCTTCAGCCATTCCTGAACCTGCAACCAAAAACAAGCTACATATTGACAGAACCAAAACAAATAATCTAATGATTTTGTCTCTTCGCAGCAAAATCTGCAGAGCTGGGATGGTTGTATCCCCCATATATATAACATTCTATTGGTTTCAAGAATTGTGTATAATAATTAAAATTGAAAAACTCTACGTTTTGAATCAAGCGTTGTTTTATGTATCAGTTCATAAACCATGCGCCATGGAAACGGTACAACGAGAATCTCTTCCCAACTATTTTGCAATCTATATGGCACAGCTGTACATTTTTGGTCCTTAAATGAAACTGGTATACTTTTTTATTTATCACAATTCTCTTTAACAAATGTTAGTTTTTAATGCAGGGCCGACAGACAAGTTCCTTACTTTCTCCTCCTTCCACTTGCCTCTTCCATTTATGCGGTAATGTTAGAGAGCCTTTGTTGGTGCCCTATATGTGCCAGCCAGCACAACAGGGATGACTGCTGACTGGCATCTAGCAACAGGACACCACAGGACATACTAATGTATAACAACCAGTAATGTGAAACGACAAGGGACAACAACAACAACCTCTCCTTCACTCCCTCCATTCGTTCCTCCATTTGTTCCATCCATCATCACATAATCATTCCGTCCTTTGTGTGTGTGTGCGTCAAGACTTACATCTTGACGAAGGGGTCAGAGTACCCATTGGAGTCCATGGCAGCGAGGTGGGCACAGCGTACGATGCCAACCAGTAGACAGCTCTTTTCTGGACTGTAGCACAGCGACACCAGGATACGACCACGCTGGGGGAGGGGGGACACAATTAGCCGTGACACCACTACAAATTTAAACTAAACTTTATTGATAGTCAACGAACTGATTGTTCATAGATTAAAGCCAATACATATAAAGCAGACAATTAAAAACATACTACAAATAGGGTCATTTAAAATTGAAGGAACAAAAAATATATAAAATGAATTAAAATAATAAGATTAATTTAATTGCATGTTGGGAAATCAGTGACAGGACTGTCAATAACACTGAGATTAGTATTACTACTATCATAGTGCCACCACTGTTATTACTACTACTACTACTATGGTACTAGTAGTACCACAACTAATGTTACTACTCCTGCTACTACTTTATCTACAGTATATGACAATCTCTACTATTTATGGTAATCTTCTTACCTCTTCCTCAGCCACAGGTGTTCCTTGCTCCACGGTTTCTTTGTTGATGTCTTTGTTCTGAGTGGGAGAAGGGAGGTTGAATTCAATACACAGTTTGTAAATCAATAGAGCCCTTTGACGAACTGACGCATTCACACGCACACCCACAGACGCACACACTCTCTCTCCTTGTTTCTCTCTCTCACACACACACGCATATACTCACACGCATGCACACACACACACACACACACACACACACACACACACACACACACACACACACACACACACACACACACACACACACACACACACATATACCTGTGTGATTCTCTCCAGACCCATTTTGAATCTCTTGCTCTCGCCTTCGCTCAGTTTCTTCAAGGCAACCCGGACCTCTCCGATAAACTCGTTACGACCGAGTCTGTCCATGTCGCACACACAAAGCCTACACACAGACAGGCATGCCACACACACACACACACACACACACACACACACACACACACACACACACACACACACACACACACACACACACACACACACACACACACACACACACACACACACACACACACACACACACAGAAAGTGAGAAACAGACATATCCTCTCAAGAGCTAGCAGTGGGGAGTATGCTCATTTGATCTAGCTGCAAACTCTGGGCACTCAAAGAAGAATAAGCCTCACTGATCTACACGTAACTCCCAAAATAATGGAAACACTTGAGTAAATGAGGTATACAAAATATATTAAAAGCAGGTGCTTCCACACGTGTGGTTCCTGAGTTAATTAAGCAATTAACATCCCAGCATGCTTAGGCTCATGTATAAACATGCTGGACAGGCCATTATTTTGGCTACCATGGCTATGCCCCCATAGGACGACAATGCCCCATCCACATAGCAGGAGTGGTCATTGAATGGTTTAATGAGCATGAAAACGATATAAACTATATGCCATGATCATGTGACCAGATCTCAACTCAAAACTTATGGGAGATTCTGGAGCGTCACCTGAGACAAAATTTTCCTCCACCATGAAAAAAAAATTGGTGTTGCATCCCTCCAATAGAGTTCCAGACACTTGTAGAATCTATGGCAAGGTGCGTTGAAGCTGTTCTGGCTCGTGGTGGCCCAATGCCCTAATAAGACACTTTATGTTGGTGTTTCCTTCATTTTGGCAGTAACCTGTAGCTATACTCTGTGCTGTACATGTCTGCCTGTGCACGCTGTGCTGTACATGTTGGTCTGTCTGCCTGCCCCTGTCTGTACGTCTGTCTGTCCGCTTTGTCTGTCTGTCTGTCTGTCTGTCTGTCTGTCCTGTCTGTCTGCCTGCCTGCCTGTCTGTCCTCTATGACTGCAGACAGACAGACAGACATACATGTCTCTGTGTGTTGCAGAACAGCTCTGCTCGGAACCTCAGTGTGAAGTGTGAAGAGAGGAGTTGAATAAGCCTACATTTTGCAAATCTTGTGTTGAAGAAATATGGTCTGCAAAAAACAAAATTGAGAGTACATGTGCCTCTATAGTGCACTTGAGACGTTTTAAGAACAGAGAATGGCCTTGAGTTTGTCTCATGTCACTATGACAACTGCGGTATTCTAGTCATTTTACACGGCTGGTCGTGTTTACTCTTTCAACTACTACTACTCTACCCTCCTGCTCTCAGATGTTCTCTCACCTTCCTGCATATCCCTCTGGGCTGTAGCCTAGGTAATTGTTCTCTCTCTCTCTCTCTCTCTCTCTCTCTCTCTCTCTCTCTCTCTCTCTCTCTCTCTCTCTCTCTCTCTCTCTCTCTCTCTCTCTCTCTCTCTCTCTCTCTCTCTCTCTCTCTCTCTCTCTCTCTCTCTCTCTCTCTATCTATGATACTCTCACAATTTCACCCCAACCGTGTTCTCTGCATCTTAATCAGTGTGAGGCATGCACTACGTCCCAAATGGCACCCTACTACCAATATAATGCATAGGGCTCTGGTCAAATGTAGTGCACTATATAGGGAATAGGGTGCCATTTGGGATGCTGACATACTGCAGGGTTGCAGTAACATGCATATTTTTCCAATTCTTATATAACGGATCAGTAACCATGTTATGTGTTATTCTATATTACATGATGGTGAGATGTCTGCATTGCACCTCAGCAGTCGTGAAGAAGTGATAGAGAGATAGACAGATAGAGATATACACTGAGTATACCAAACATTAGTAACATTAGTAACCTTCCTAATATTGACTTGGACCCCCCCACCCCCTTTTGCCCTCAGAACAGCCTCAATTCATCGGGGCATGGACTCTACAAGGTGTCGAAAGCGTTCCACAGGGATGCTGGCCCATGTTGACTCCAATGCTTCCCACAGTTGTGTCAAGTTAGTTGGATGTCCTTTGGGTGGTGGGACATTCTTGATACACACGGGAAACTGTTGAGCGTGAAAAACCCAGCAGCGTTGCAGTTCTTGACACAAACCGGTGCACCTGGCACCTGCTACCATACCCCGTTCAACAGCACTTAAATATTTTGTCTTACCCATTCATCCTCTGAATGGGACATATACATAATTCATGTCTCAATTGGCTCAAGGCTTAAATGTCCATGTCTCCTCCCCTTCATCTACACTGATTGAAGTGGATTTAACAAGTGACATCAATACGGGATCATAGCTTTCACCTGGATTCACCTGGTCAGTATATGACATGGAAAGAGCAATGTTTTGTATACTCAGTGTAGAGAGATACAGTAGGAGCTCAGTGATAGGAACATGTCGGATGGAGGTTTAAACTGAAATGTCTAACTTTGAAAGTCACTGTGCATCAAACCGATATTGAAAATATTTATTGCGTAGTTAGTGTTTTCTAATCATTTAGCCTGATATTATAAATAGCTTGTAAGCAACTTTTACGTTTGTCTGCAGCAGACAGAAGTTCCTTTTTATTCATCATTTAATATGTGTCCTGGACTGGTTTGATTTATCCTGTTCAGTTGACTGGTCGGTCCATAACTCTGAGGTTTGTATCTTTGAGGTTCTACTGTTGAGAGATGGAAAAATTGATTTCTGCATCAGACTGGCACTCTGTCGGTCTTGCCTGGGCTATGACAAGGTGTTGACGGTAGCCATGGTTTTGTCACACCGAGCCAACATACCTTTCCTACACTGCTGTGGAGCTCTCCATTGACTGACAGTAGGATGCTCCAGGGTCAAGCTTCCCCTGGGTATAGATCTAGGATAAACTTCACCTCGCCCAATCCTAACCTTAACCATTAGTTAGGAGAATGCTAAACTTTTTATCGTTAATGTCTCCCCTTTGTCATACATTTATTGATTGCAGCCAAGAAATATGATATAAGAGGAGGACATTTACAGCACTGTTTTTCAATATTTTTGTACCTCAGTAGCAGTTAAAATTGCCAAGATCCACCACTGCAGTCTACGAACAAGTACATGGGCAGCAAGTTTGGAAGAATTGAAGTTACAGCTAATGCCTTGCGCCTGAAGTTATAAAACACAATACAAGTCCTTGCTGAATGCTAAATGCACATTAGCATGATCATTCCCTCTGCTCCCTATGCTACACTACAATTCCCTATCCCCATCCACTCTATGCTACACTACAATTCCCTATTCACATCCACTGCCTATGCTACGCTACAATTCCCTATTCACATCCACTGCCTATGCTACGCTAATTCCCATTTCCCAGTCATTGTCCCCAAGTGTACAGCCTGCTGTTCAGCCATTAGCTCTGGTTCCCCCGGCTGCCCCCATGGGGAGAGGCTGTGTCTTGGCTGTGCCTCTACGCTTGGCAGTGCACCATGCTGGGGGAAGAGTTTTGAGTAGCCCCCCCTCCTGATCTACCCTGCTGGGACTAATGGTGCTGGTCTCACGGACGGGCCAAGCCAGGGGGGAAGCAGCACATCAGGGTGCCCACAGACTGTGACTCACGCCCTCTCCTAACTCCTTCGGGTCTGCTCTCCCTCTTTCTTTCTTTCTCTCTCACTCCATCACTTGTCTTTCTCTATCTAACCCCAGTCTTTCTCTCCATAGGCTCTCTTCACCCCACCTCTCTTCCTTTCCCTCTGCCCCTTTCTCTTTCCATCTCTCTCTCTCCCCCCTCAGCTTTTTCTCTCTTTCTTGGTTCGCCCTGCATCCACTCCCCCACTCTCTATCTCTTTCTATCTCACTCTCTCTCCTTCTCGTCTGAAAATGTTCCTCCTCTCCCAAGCACTCTGCCACTTTCTCTTCGCCTGTTCCCTCTCTTTCTCCACCTCTATCCCCTCTTTCTTGGAACCCCAATTCTCTCTTCTATTCTCTTCTCCCTTTCCTTTCCCCTGTCTGTCCTCATCTATCCCCTCTTTCTTGGCATCCCTCTCACTCTTCCCTCTTTCTTGGCATCCCCCCTCTTTCCCTGGCTGTCTCCCCTCCTCTACCCCCCCCTTTTCTTGGCACCCCTCACTCGCTCTCCCAACTTTTATCCCCTCTTTCTGGCACCCCTTCCATTCTCTCCTTCCTTTCCTGGCTCTCCCTAGCTTCTGGGTTGGCCTGTGTCTAGGGGCTGTCTCCTTGGCTGGAGGTCAGGTGGGTTCCCTGGGCATTCAGGGTCTTTCCTGAATCCTTATCTACAAAGAGATGGAGTGTGGTGTGTGTGTGTGTGTGTGTGTGTGTGTGTGTGTGTGTGTGTTTGGAGGGGGGTTTTGTGTGTGTTTGTATCTGTGGGGAGTGGGGGGCTACATGGCTTCTCTGCCCAGTGTCTGCCCTTTACTGCATGCCAGAGGGTATCTGTCCAGTGTCTGCCCTTGACTGCATGCCAGAGGGCATCTGTCCAGTGCACACTCCAGACCGGATGCATTAGAGAGAGGGTGAGAAGTGTGTGTACAGTGCCTTCAGAAAGTATTCACACACCTTTACTTTTTCTACATTTAGTTGTGTTACAATGGATTAATACAACAAAATTGATTAAATAGAGATTGTGTGTCACTGGCCTATACACAATATCCCATAATGTCAAAGTGGAATTATGTTTTAAGAAATGTTTACAAATTAAACAGTGGCGCAGCGGTCTAAGACACTGCATCACAGTGCTAGAGGCGTCACTACAGACACTGGTTCGATCTCAGGCTGTGTCGCAGCCGGCCGCAACTGGGAGACCCATGAGGCGGCGCACAATTGGCCCAGCGTCGTCTGGGTTAGGGGAGGGTTTGGCCGGCCGGGATGTCCTGGTGCCATCCCGCTCTAGCGACTCCTGTTGGGGGCTGGGCGCATGCACGCTGACACGGTTGCCAGTTGTATGGTGTTTCCTCCGACACATTGGTGCGGCTGGCTTCCGGGCTAAGCGAGCAGTGTGTCAAGAAGCACTGTGGCTTGACAGGGTCGTGTTTCGGAGGACTCATGGCTGTCGACCTTCGCCTCTCCTGAGTCCGTGTGGGAGTTGCAGCGATAGGACAAGACTGTAACTACCAATTGGATATCACGAAAAAGGGGATTTATTTTATTATATATATATATATATATATATAAGCTGAAATGTCTTGAGTCAATAAGTATTCAACCACTTTGTTATGGCAAGCCTAAATAAGTTCAGGAGTAAAAATGTGCTTAACAAATCACATAATAAGTTGCATGGACTCACTCTGTGTGCAATAATAGTGTTTAACATTATTTTTGAATGACGACCTGCTCTCTGTACTCCACACATACAATTATCTGTAAGGTCCCTCAGTCAAGCAGTGATTGTCGAACACAGATTCAACCACAAAGACCAGGGAGGTTTTCCAATGCCTCTCAAAGAAGGGCACCTATTGGTAGATGGGTAAAAAATGTAAAAGCAAACGGTGAATATCCCTTTGGCAATGGTGAAGTTATTAATTACACTTTGGATGGTGTATCAATACACCTAGTCACTACAAAGATACAGGCGACCTTCCTAACTCAGTTGTCGGAGAGGAAGGAAACCGCTCAGGGATTTCAACATGAGACCAATGGTGACATTATGTCACGCCCTGGCTCTGGGGACTCTTATATGTTGAGCCAGGGTGTGGATTGTCTATGTTGAATTTTCATGTATTTCTATGTTGGCCGGGGTGGTTCCCAATCAGAGGCAGCTGTGGCTTGTTGTCTCTGATTGGGAACCATACTTAGGCAGCCTGTTTTGCACTTGTTATTTGTGGGATCTTGTTCCGGAGAGGTTTGTGTTTGTTAACCTTAGGACTTCACGTATCGTTTTGTTGTTTTTGTATATGTTATAAAGTACTCATTAAAAGATGTACGCATATCGCGCTGCGCCTTGGTCTGCTTGTTATGACGATCGTGACACATTAAAACAGTTACAGAGTTTAATGGCTGCGATAGGAGAAAACTGAGGATTGATCAACAACATTGTAGTTACTCCACAATACTAATCTAAATTACATAGTTAAAAGAAGGAAGCCTGTACGGAATAAAAATATTCAAAAACATGCTTCCTGTTTGCAATAAGGCACTGAAGTAAAACTGCAAGAAATGTGGCAAAGAAATTAACTTTATGTCCTGAATACAAAGAGTTATTTTTGGGCAAATCCAACACAACACATCACTGAGTACCACTCATATTTTCAAGCATGGTGGTGGCTGCATCATGTTATGGGTATGCTGGTCATTGGCAAGGACTACAGAGTTTCTTAGGATAAAAATAAATGGAATAGAGCTAAGCACAGGCAAAATCCTAGAGGAAAACCTGGTTCAGTCTGCTTTCCACCAGACACTTGGAGACAGCAGGACAATAACCTAAAGGCCAAATATACACTGGAGTTGCTTACCAAGATGACATTGAATGTTCCTGAGTGGCCGAGTTACAGTTTTGACTTAAATCGGCTTGAATATCTATTGCAAGACTTGGAAATGGCTGTTTAGCAATGATCAACCGCCATCTTTACAGAGCTTGAATAATTTTTTTAAATAATAATGGGCAAATATGGTACAATTCATGTGTGCAAAGCTATTACCCAGAAGACTCACCCAGAAAGACTCACAGCTGTAATCGCTGCCAAAGGTGATTCTAATATGTATTGACTCAGGGGGTTCAATACTTATGTAATCAAGATATACTAGTGGTTTTTGTGTGTGTTTTTTAAAAACAAAAGTTAGAATTTTCTTCCACTTTGACATTACAGAGTATTTTGTATAGATCGTTGACAAAAAAAGGACAATTAAATCCATTTTAATCCCACCTTGTAACACAAACAAAATGTGGAAAAGTCAAGGGGTGTGAATACTTTCTGAAGGCACTGTATGTGTGTGTGTGTGTGCCTATATCTGTGTGTATATCCCTGAGGCATGGGTTTTACCTTGCTGCATTATCATGACGGTGCCAAACACAAAAACACATACAAACACATACAGTGCATTCGGAAAGTATTCAGGCCCCTTCCCTTTTTCCACATTTTGTTACATTACCTTATTCTAAAATGGATTTTAAAAAGAAAATCCTCATTAATCTACACACAATACTCCATAATGAAAAGCGAAAACAGAACCTGACGGAGCTCCAGAGTTCCTCTGTGGAGATGAGAGAACCTTCCAGAAGGACAACCATCTCTACAGCCACTCCTCAGTAAAAGGCACATGACAGCCTGCTTGGAGTTTGCCAAAAGGCACCTAAAGACTCTCAGACCATGAGAAACCAAGATTGAACTCTTTGGCCTGAATGCTAAGCGTCACGTCTGGGGGAAACCTGGCACCATCCCTACGGCGAAGCATGGTGGTGGCAGCATCATGCTGTGGGGATGTTTTTCAGCGGCAGGGACTGGGAGACTAGTCAGGATCGAGGAAAAGATGAACGGAGCAAAGTACAGAGAGACCCTTGATGAAAACCTGATCCAGAGTGCTAAGGACCTCATACTGGGGCAAAGGTTCACCTTCCAACAGGACAACGACCCTAAGCACACAGCCAAGACAACGCAAGAGTGGCTTCGGGACAAGTCTCTGAATGTCCTTCGTGGCCCAGCCAGAGCCCGGACTTGAACCCGATCAAACATCTCTGGAGAGACCTGAAAATAGGTGTGCAGCGACGCTCCCCATCCAACCTGACAGAGCTTGAGAGGATCTGCATAGAAGAATGGGAGAAACTCCCCAAATACAGGTGTGCCAAGCTTGTAGCGTCATACCCAAGAATAATCAATGCTGTAATCGCTGCCAAAGGTGCTTCAACAAAGTACTGATTTCATTTTTATTTTTATTTCTTTGCAGACATTTCAAAAATCCTGTTTTTGCTTTGTCATTATGGTTTTGTATGTAGGCCGATGAGGGAAAAAATGTTTTTATTCCATTTTAGAATAAGGCTGTAACATAACAAAATGTGGAAAAAGTCAAGGGGTCTGAATACTTTCCGAATGCACTGAACACACACGCACAAAGTTGCTGAGCTCGACCTCAATCACTTCAGCGTTCCGTATCAACAGCACTCGAGGAATGAGGGGGCTGAGACTCCGAACGAGAGCCAACACCTGAGTGGGTTCCCGCGGCGACTGCTAATGGAACAGTTGGCCGGAGTGCTTGGCAGTTTTTTTCTTTGTCCGTGGGATAATTAATTGGCCAGATGGCCCTCTGGGAACTGTAGGCAAGTTGTTTTATAATATATGCCAGTATAATATACAAGTAGGAGTTGTAGTTCTCTGTAGTTCAGTACCTGAGGGTTTTGGTGGTCATGTCGATAGCGGTGATGCCGTGGTACATCAGTGTCTCGCTCCATACCGGGTTCAGAGTGTTCTTCAGTGTTTTGGTGCGAAGTTTGTTCGCCTGCAGGGGACGAAAGAGAGAAGGAGAGAGGGATAAGAGATGGAAAGGGAGAAGGGTGGTTCAAAAAGAGGGAGAGAAAGGATTGCGGAAAGAGGGAGAGAGGAGAGAGAGACGAAAAGTATAGAAAATAGTGGGTGTGGGAGCATAGGGGAAAGAAATGGGAGACTCAGAAAGAGACAGGTGGGAAGAGATAAGAGAGAGAGAGAGGTGAGGCAATAAGTAGGAGAGGGAGAGGGCAATTGGGGTGGAGTAAGAGGCAGTTGAGATGATAGAGCAAGAGATTAGAGGGAAATACTTAGGAAGAGAGGGTAGGATGAAGAGAAGAAGTGATAGATAGAATGAGATGACAGAGTGAGAGAGAGAGAGAGAGAGAGAGAGAGAGAGAGAGAGAGAGAGAGAGAGAGAGGGGAAACTTAATTTATCTCCTTCCCCCAGGAAATGGTAGACATCTGCTCACCTACTTTATAGAGGAGAACAGGAGGACAGGATGCTTCCCCGCGTCACCTGTCTGTCTGTCTCTCCTAGCCTGTCGCTAGCACTGCTACCAGCCAGACCCGCAAACAAGCACTGCGCTAACACAACACACCACACCTGTCAATTAACCCTCGCTAACACAATTAGCATGGAAAATCAAAGCCTCTCAATGAAGAAAGGCCTAGCGTAGCGTTAGCGTCCAATAATGCTACGCTAACTTCCCCTTCATTAATGATTGAGAAGGCAGGGTTAGGACATTATCTAGCTCTCGCTCCTATTTTCCATTATAAGCTGCCTCCAGGACGTGCTGCTGTTTTACATATTTCATTTATTTTCTTGGTTACACAACGGCTGTTTTTCGTTTTAATGCCGAGACCAGGCACGCTTCCTCACTTACTCAGCCTTGAATCCCCCCAGTGCACACACACATACATACACAAATACACACACACACACACGAACACACATGCACACGCACGCATGCAAGCACGCACACACACACACATACACACACATACGCACAAACACACCAAGAGAGCGGAGAACTGTATACTCTCGAGGCACTCAAGCACGAGCCTAAATCCCGACTCCCCGGGACATTCTGGCGCTCCGGAGCTAATTACCTCTCTCTCTCCATCCTTCTCTCTCTCTCTTTCTCTTTCGCTAAACCTCTCTCTGTCCCTCTCTCTTTCTTCCTCAAATCTCTCCCCCTCTCTCTCTTCCTCCATTCCTCCCTACCTCTCTTCATCTCTCTCCCTCTCTCTCATCCCTCACTCTTTTCCCCCCTCCTTCTCATTTCCTCTTTTCCATTGATACCACCGGGTACATCCCCGTCCAAAACAGCATATGGTGTCAGCAAAAATCACCTGCCTGGCTCCCCTCTCTCTTCATCAATCTCTTTCTCTCCCCTGCCCCCTTCCCCCGTCATCAATGCTGTTACATTTCCCTAAATATTTCATCCATAGCCCTCCGCCTCTCCCTCACTCCCCCCATCCGACTATATGGACCCTCTCCCTCTCCCTCTCTCCTCTGTTCCCCAAGCTCACACACACAACTGGCTAAGAAATCTCATTCTCCATGCGCCACGATTAGGACAGGGAGCAGATGAGAACGTCGAGCCAGGGAGACACCAAGAACCACTCTCACTGCTCTCCCGTCTCTTTCTCTCGCTTTTCACCTCTCTCTCTCTCTCTCTCTCTCGCACTTTCTGTCTCTGTCTTCCTCTCTCTTGCTCGCTCTCTCTTTCTTTCTCCCTCTCCTCTATTTCTCCCTCTCTCTTCCTCTCTCTCTCTCTGTGTTGTGTGTAATGGTGTGTGTTATGTTTTTGTGCATGAGAGAGAGAGAGCAAGTTTGTGTTTCTGTGGAGGTGTGTTTCGTCAGGTGTGTCTGTCCATGTGAGTCTGGCGGTCCTTTAGTATGAGGAATCAGCTTGTGCCCCTGTAAGTGTGGAAGCTAGTGTGTGAAGGAGTGTGTATCTATGTGGGAGTCTCTGTGTGTGTGTGTGTGTGTGTGTGTGTGTGTGTGTGTGTGTGTGTGTGTGTGTGTGTGTGTGTGTGTGTGTGTGTGTGTGTGTGTGTGTGTGTGTGTGTGTGTGCGCGCGCGTGGGTATGTGTGCGTGTGCGTGAGTAAGAAAACAAATTGAAAGGGTGAGAGGGAGAGTGTGTGTGTGTGTGTGTGTGCTCGTGCCCCTGTGTGTGCAAGATGCTGTGTATGCGTGTGAGTCCCTCCCTGCCCGTCTGCCAGCCCCCTCTGTTTCACACTCACGTGCTCCCCACTCCTCAGCGCTGTAGACTCGTGTGGTCGATATTTACCAAACGGGGGTTTGTGGGTACTTACGTAAGTGCTGACGCTCTTTCTCCCCCTCCCTCCCTCTCCCCCCATCTACACTCGCCTGTTGACGTGAGTAGTGTAACAATCTGCGCTGTTTCCATGACAACCACCTGCTGCTGTCCTCCCCTCATCCATCTTCCCCCTCCTCCTGCCTTTTCTCCCCCCTTTACCTCCTGCCCTCCTCTATTCCAAGGTCATAGTGGGTCACATTGAGATAAATAGTGACAGAGATAGGGACAGAGGGCGGGATGGAGAAATAGGGTGTGGAACAAAAAGGGGTGGGGGTTGGGGTGGGGTATAAACAAAAGCAGACCTAGTCGTTTTTTTTGCTGTATTTTTTTGGTTCGACCACAGACATTGTGTTTATAATACCTGTCTGGCTCTATCTCCAACTGACTTTGATGTTGACCCAAACTCAAGATGGCTGCCACCAACAAGTAACCACCTGAGAATAATTTGTGTCGGGTGCCAAACCTCCCGACCGTTCACAAGAACAACAACTCCAAAATTTTAAACAAAGCCAGTAAAATGGGACCAAAACATTGCTGTGGAGCACAGAGACATGCCACATCAACCAGCGAAGTACCAAAACAACTCCTGTTCATTAGTCGACGTAGTGTGTCAACGTGCTACATTAGCTAGCTAGTTACATTTAGCCCTAAAGCCAAAGCCCAGTGTTTTCCAAGTACATGGACTAGCCAGCCAAATAGAAAAAGTAGCCAGTATGAGAGTTCCCGGCTGGGGTAAAAAAAAAAGTTGTGGTATTGAATAGAAAGACATGAATTTACAATTAAAATGACTGAAAAAGTATGAATTCAGTCTGTTGTTTTGGATATCGTCTAGGCCTAGACCTATATGATCCGGACTATTTTCTAAGCAACATAACCTTTATTAACATTAAAGGTGCAATATGCAGAAATTGCTTCACCATTTCCTGCTTGCTAAAATTCTAACAGTTCGCCTAATTTCAGTTTATGTGACAAAACAAGCAATGCATAGTGTAGAGAATCATTGTACCATCTAAACTGCTGTGAAATATCTTTTCAATAACTAAAATGGTGTATGTACAGTTGTTTGAAGCTGGTGTGCAAAACTGAAAGTAAAAGATGCAAAAACGAAACTTAAGAACGGGAAGCACAGAAATAGTGCACATAGAACCTATTTACTGCTTCTTAGAGTTGCTTTCAATGAGAATGACAGATCTAACTAATTTCTATGTGAATTTGGTAGGGTAGCCCAAAAGGTTACATATTGCAGCTTTAAACCTGTCTTCTCTTGAGATGAAAGTAATTTACAGTTTTACTGCAAGATACGAATTGCCACAATGATGTTTGTTCTTCAAATTATGTATTATTGGCTCTGCTGCTGTGGACACTTAGGGCAAGGAAACCAATGTGTCAATTTGGATTTACCTTTAACAGTTTGGCCTGTCAATCAATCACGGTGGGTTCGGGCTTTGAGGGAACGTGGTAGATTAGTAATTTAGTCAGAAAAACTAGTTTAGTCTACTCTTTCAATTGAATTTATTTTGGCAAAAACCTAAGAAAAAAGGTTGTGTTCTGTCAAGTAAACATGGATTCCCAGTCGAAAAACAACAATATAGAATTGCAGGAAAATTGTTATAAAAATGCTGCTGTATAAGTGATGTAGTATGCCAGGGGCATACTGTATGTATACTGTAACTAAGAAAGTAAGTATATGTTGATGTAGTAAGCTGTTAGTAGCCTATGTGTCTCACCCTAACAATTTGGTCCCTCTCCCCCTCAGAACATTAGCCTACTGTTCTGACTTGGTGGTGCACATGTAGCCTATAGCCTGTTTTGGAGAAATGTCATCATCGAATATTGCAAGAGCTTTCATTGTCTGCTTATGTGCCCCCGTTATTTATCCTATGGTTCTGACATGGTGTACAGGCAGAATACTGTAAGAACGGCCCATGTTCTGAATTTTGTTGCTGTACATTTCAAAAGTGCGGAACGAATAGGCATATCGTCCATCTCAGCTCTCTCATGTCTTAATCAATATTATGGCTTGCCTCTTTCCCGCTCATCGTTCCCTTATGCCATAGTTTGTACATCTCCATTGTTATATTGCTTATACAGTACCAGTCAAAAGTTTGGACACACCTACTCATTCAAGGGTTTTTCTTTATTTTTACTATTTTCTACATTGTAGAATAATAGTGAAGACATCACAATTATGAAATAACACATATGGAAAAATGTAGTAACCAAAAAAGTGTTAAACAAATCAAAATATATTTTACAGTATATTTGAGATTCTTCAAATAGCCACCCTTTGCCTTGAAGGCAGCTTTGCACACTCTTGGCATTCTCTTAACCAGCTTCACCTGGAAGGCTTTTCCAACAGTCTTGAAGGAGTTCCCACATATGCTGAGCACCTTTCCTTCACTCTGTGGTCCGACTCATCCCAAACCATCTCAATTGGGTTGAGGTCGGGGATTGTGGAGGCCAGGTCATCTGATGCAGCACTCCATCACTCTCCTTCTTGGTAAAATAGCCCTTACACAGTCTGGAGGTGTGTTGGGTATTTGTCCTGTTGAAAATCAAATGATAGTCCCACTAAGCCCAAACCAGATGGGATGGCGTAGTGTACATGTATAGGTCAATCTCATTAATATCTTACTCATCATTTTAGGCGATGTTATATTGATGTATTTCATTGTTTTGCTTACTTTGTGTATTATACTATACGATGGTCTGAAACCATGTTTGCCAGTGACAGTCTCTTCCCATTAAAATACTTTTGTTCAACAAAAAGTTAATATAATTCCAGTTCATATTGCGAGGGTTGTTGCGAGGGATGTTTTGTTTGTGCAATGCGCTGTCTGTGCGTCGGTATATTGTCTATAAAAGTGGAGCCTCGTGATTGTATTTTCCTTCCCTTTTAGACCACATAATACAATTCGTTCAAAATGGGTAGGGCTTAGAGAGAGAGATCTGCGAGCTAATCGCGGAGAGAGACAGAGATAGAGAGGAAGATAGCGATCTCATCTCTTCTATCGATCTTATCTACGCTCTAGACTTCTCCTCTCCCTATCTTCTCACTCTCTCGATCTCTCTTCTCTATATGCTGGGACTGTTTGGTGCATGCTGGGAATTGTTTGAGTGAGTGTTAAGTCCGAATGGGGACGCCGTCCCTGTCACTTCGGCACTGCTTTTGGTGTGTTACTGAAGCTAGTGTCACGGTGGAGAGTTTCATTGGTCGCCGTAGGAGAGAAAGTAGGGATATGAGATGTTTGCTATGCGCACGGATGAATAAAGCGGTGGTGGTATTTCTTAAAGAAGAGCGCCTTGTTGATCATATGGTTGAGCATGGATACTTTTGGTCTTAAACAAATGGTTATTCAAGTTTACGCCGCTTTTTTCTCGTCAAACAAGGGTATAACGATTTCAAATCTACGACGTTTTATTCCAAATACCTATTGGAGCGCAAGTTATTGCGCTTTGGGAAGTTAGCAAGTTCAATTAAGGTTGTCCCGTTGGGTTGCAAACACCCGGCGTTGAAACAGGTTATGTCGTTTTGGCGACAGGTGTTTATGTTTTTGGACTCACCGGAGCAGACTTTGGAGTTATCTTTTAAAGTCAAGTATGACAATAGACTGTATATGGCTTATGCTAGTACGGGTAGTCAACTGTGTTTTGAGTGTGGGGATGTTGGTCATAAGCGACATGCTTGCCCGAAAAGGGAGAAGGCAGAGGGAGGGGCGCAGGTGGTCCTCGTAACGCCTGGGCCCACTGATGTAGGGAGAGGTGGGCTGACAGCGATAGAGCAGCCACAAGCATCTGTTGCTGAGGAACATGTTGTCCGTGTTGAGGGCACAGAGTTGCAACTTGTACCAGAGGGAAATGTTATGCAGCAGAAAAATATTGTTGTAGAAGGTAAGGATGGATCGGAAGAGCCATTTCAGACTGGTGAGGAGGTACCCAGTACGAGTGCTGGGGTACAGGAGGGGGTTCATGTGGAGCTAATCTCCCAGGTAGTGGAGGAGATGCCCACTACAAGTAATGGGTTACAGGAGGGGGTTCATGTGGAGCTAATCTCCCAGGTAGTGGAGGAGATGCCCACTATGAGTGC